GAGAGAGAGAGAGAGAGAGAGAGAGAGAGAGAGAGAGAGAGAGAGAGAGAGAGGCCCCATCAATCGGCCTTCCCTGTTGTCACCAGCCTGGTGCTCCTATGTAGGAGCAAAGGTAACATGGTGGCTGATGTAAGAGAGAGGATGATGGGAAGGAAGGGAAAAAAAGCAGAGTGCAGGTATTCCAAGTTATCAAGAGTGCAGCCTCTTTTTGGACCGTACGTGATGAGAGAGAGAGAGAGAATGAAACAAAACAAAAAAACCCAACCCCACTCATTCCCAAAGGATGATAGTACGAGGATGCTGGATGACCACGGTTTTTAAAGAACCTAGAACCTGTGAATGCTGGGATAGAGCTGACTTCATGAGGTAGGATCCGACTGGTTTTTGTTTTAAAGGCACTGAATCGTCTCTGGTCTTTAATACCAGAGTTAAAGGCTCGTGGAACTCAATGACCACTGCCACTAGGCTAGACTGACAGTGTGTGTTTTTTTCTAACGGCGTGTTTAATTTGGCATCTCGTCACCCAGCCCTGCTTGGGTTGGCCTCCTTGAAGAGGTTTGCACTCGAGTGACACACAGAAAGGGCTGACCACCTGGAGCCGATGGAAAGCACCTGCTGAAGAGCAGTGCAGATTTTGCATGTGTATATATTGTGCTACAGGCATCCCACTCAAATGGGCCAAAGAAATTTTTTTCTTTTTTTAAAGTAAAAACAAAAGGTTTGGGTTTAGTGTCTGGGCAAAAAAAAAAAAATCATGAGAAAAAGCCTATACTGCAGGCAGCCAGTGGGACATTAAATCAGACCACTGCAAGATCCCTCCAGCCATTCATTCTGGGCTGCAGAAATCACGCACTATTTCTATTGACCACTGACCAATCTGTATTAAAATAGCATTTAAATTTGTATTAGCTTGTAGGAGAAATTTTGTTATTAAAGATAGTGTTTGGGCTTGACTCTCAGGTTTTAAATGTTTCAAATGTAATTGTAGTTAATCAGAGCAGTCATCAATGCAACTTTTCCTTCTTTAAAAGAATGTAAATATAATTGGCACAGAGTCAGTTTTTATTGTACGTGTTGTAAGGGGCAGTAAGAGTGTCATGTATTTAATTTTTATTTAGAAGAGATCCAGATTCTTCATGGAGATATGGTTTGTATTCATTTCTATCTTGGAACGTCCACTGCATGTAAATAGAATATGCTCTTTGGGATGTAAATCTTGGAAATGCTACATGAATGTAGGCTCTCATTAATAAAGAAATTAACCTCAGTCTTCAACAGTACTGTTTGTTTCGTGCATTTCCCCAGTGGAGTGAGGTGGTTTATAAACGTGTCCCAGGCTCAGACTTCCCGGCAATCTCCACCACACTCGGGATGTAACAAGAACCAAAACTTAAGTAGGGAAAAGGCTTCTGAAAAGCCACTCGACACCTCAAAGGTCTTTGGTCCAGCCATGTCACAGTGACCATGGACTCCAAGGAGATCGTTGACAGAAAGTGAATGCTCCTGGATTATACTCCACAAGGGATACTCCCAACAGCACTTTTTGTGGTAGCAAAGCATCCTAAACAAATCGGGGGAAACTGAACAAATTGTGGTCATGGGATCATGTATTTAGGGCTGGTACACCTTAGCAGTCATCTTGTGCAGTGGACTAGAAGAAGACGTCATTCACCAAGGTCAAGTCAAAGAGCATGAATTTGAACCCAGGACCCTTGGCTCCAAATTTGTTGTGGATCAGTCATTTCAGTCATGTCTGATTCTTCGTGACCCCATTTGGGGTTTTCTTGGCAAAAATACTGGAGCAGTTTGCCATTTCCTTCTCCAGTTCATTTTACAGATGAGGAAACTGAGGCAAACAGGATTAAGTGACTTGCCCAGGGTCACAGAGCTAGTAAGTGTCCGAGGCTGGATTTGAACTCAGGTCCTCCTGACTCCAGGCCCACCATTCTAACCATTGTGCCACCTAGCTCCAAAATTTGGCTCCAGATCCATTGTGTTGTATACCATATCTTGTGGATGTAGTGGAAAATTGCAGTACATTTGAAATGTAAATAGAGACTTCAGAAAAACCTGAAAAGAACTCTATGAACTGATTCAAAAGGAGAACAGAACCAGGGGCACAATATTTGTACAATATGTTACACAACTATGCAATGAGTACAATTGTGCTCATGAAAACTCCAAAGGGTTGCTGACCCCGCATCAATTGCATTGCCCAATCTTGGTCCCAAGGAGCAGGTAAAGAGGAGAGGGAGGGGATAAATCTGGCATCCCCTCAGGACGGCCTCCAGGGTACCAAGGAGGGAGGGTTGGATGGGAGAGGGGTGGGGAGGTGGCTTACATTGGGGAATGACTGAAACAAAAAACAGAAGGCATTAATAAAAATGTAACTTGAGATCTTTCCCATCTTAAGAAGACCTCAGAGCTGCCAAAGTAAGTGCTCTTCAACCCTAAGGATTTCTTAAGCATCTTCTACAGGCTGTGGGCTAAGTAGACCGAGAGGATGCAGCGTTCTACCTAAGGGAGCTTGTATTCTGGGGGGAGGTGCAATTAGGGTTAGGGTGTGTTTGGGAGAGTAGACAGCCTGTATACACATGACGAGTAGTTAAGAATGCTGGCACTAAGTTCAAATCAGGCCTCAGACACTCACTAGCTGTGTGACCCTGGGCAAGTCACTTCACCCTGTTTGCCTCAGTTTCCTCATCTGTAAAATGAGCCAGAGAAGGAAATGACAAATCACTCCAGTTATTTTTGCCAAGAAAACCCTAAATGGGTCAGACATGACTGAAATGACTCAACACAATAAAAAATACATCAGCGTGTACATGATGTATACAAAATGTGTGCCTTTGGGTCCTGCTTCTCTGCATCAGTTCATACAAATCTAACGTTTCTCTGAATTTCTCACATTCATTATAAGGAGGTTTATATTCTATTGGTGGATGGATGGGAATAGAATTCGGGCATAGATAAATGGGTCTTAGGAAATAATCAAGAGAGAGCAAAAATTGAATAGGGAGGGAGTGGTACCTCTAATGAGTGTGGAATCAACCCACGAGCATTTATTAAGTGCCTACTGTGAGCCAGGCACTGTTGCAGGTACTGGAATGAAGCAATCCCTGCTAGAAAGGACCTTACAGGAGGCTGGGGATTCTGAATTGGAGGGGAACAGGGAGCACTTTCAGGTCTGTGCAAAGGAAGGGGTGGGAAATGGAGGGTTAAATGTAAGGAACAGCTATAAGGCCGGCTTTGTGCATGAAGGAAAATAATGATGGCATTCTGGAAGGGTAGATGGGAGCCATGGTGTGCAAGGCTTTACTGTGGTACTGGGAAAGAGTGCTGTGTTTGGAGTCCAAGGAGCTGGGTTCAAATCCCAGCTGTGACACCGGGGGATCACTAACGTCCCTTTCTCTGTAAAAGAGAGAAGTAGGTGCTGCGCCACCCGCCAAGAGGGCTGTTCTCACCTCTTCTCCAATGATCTCTCAATTGCCCAAATCCAGGAGTCTTTTTCTCAACTTTCCCCCTTCTGGACCTCTGGACCTCTTTGACTCCTCCATCCCATCTCCTCCTGGACTCTACGTTTCCTCGCCTCTGCTCTCTCCTGGTTGCCCCCTACCTCTCCTCCGACTCCTCCTCACTCTCTGTCCTGCCTCCTCCTTTCTTCTCTCTCTCCAAAGCCTTCCCACGGGGCCACCCATCTGCCACATCCCCAATCGGTTTCCAAGTCTCGTGGATTGCCCCTCAGAGGTCCCTCCTCTTCATGCACATAGCCTTCATCCACCCTCACCTGACCTACAGCCTCCTGGCTGGTCTCCCAGACTATCCCCTCAGCTCCATCTTCCACTCGGCTGCCAGTAATAATCCTAAAGCTCAGTCATCCCCCTCCTCAAGTCGTGCCAGCAGCTTCTTGTTGCGTCTAGACTCATATGCAAATGCCTTTGCTTGGCATCTACGCCCTTCAAGACCTAGCGCTGGGCTGCCCTTCCCGACAAGCCACATTAGTCTCCACACTCTCACTGGTCCAGACGAACGGGTCTGACTGTGGTTTCTCACATGGGCCATTGACACCCATCCACTGTAGGCTGTCCCTGGCTGCCTGGGAGGTTCCTTCTCCCCCTGCCTCAGAGCCCCTAACGTCCTCACCCCCAGGAGGAGGAAACCCCCACCTTCAGAGGCAGCCCCTTCTCAGCTAGCACTGGCAGCTCTTGGGGTCAGCAAGGTCTGTTTGCCATCCAGCCTGAATGGGCCCTTTTTGCCTTGGTCCCCCCAGTATCTGGCACACAGTAGGTGCTTAATTGATGCTAGGCATCCCTTTTATCAGGCTTATAGATCTAATTCATCACAATGTCAGAGACTCCAGTAAGATTCCCCGCATCCCGCAGTGTCCTTATGGACGGGTCACTATTGGCCATGTGGAATTCTGACGTCTTTGAGCCCGCTCTACATGGAAAGCAGGGTGTTTTTTTAGGGGGATCTGTTAGGGTCATATTAGGATCTCAGCTGCAGTAGGGTCAAAGGCATCCAGTCCAGGCCCCTCCTCATGCAGACGACTAAACTGAGGCCCAGAGAGGGGGAGGGGCTTGCTCAAGCCCCCCAGCTGGTGTCAGATCCCGGATTAGCGGTCCCCAGGGCTCAGGACCATCCCCCTTTCTCGGACATCCCAGAAGGGGGTTCATGGTCAGGGTTTGCAGGGTCCCTCCCGAGCCGGAGCCGACCTCGGACAGGAAGGACGCTCATTTGATCTCGGGGCGGTCCCGAGCGCTCCCGGAGCCCCTGCCCAGGCTGGGGGAGGGGCGGAGGGCCTGGGGCGGCCTGCCCCTCCCCCCTCCCGGGCCCAACGGTCCCTCTCCCCTCCACCCTTCCCATCCCAACGGTCGACCCCTCTCCGGGGCACGCGCTCGGGGGCGGTTGGGGCGGGCGGGCGCGAGCGGCGCCCCTGCCCACTGCCGCCGGGGCACGCGCACCGAGGTAGCGTGCACGCGCCGGGCTCGCTCCCGGGCTGGCTGCGGGCACGCGGAGGCGGCAGCGCGGTCGTCGTCCTTGTCGTCGTCCTGGTCCTTCGTCTTCGGCGGCTCCTCCGCGGCCTCCCCCGGAGCCCCGGCCCCGCGGTGGGTATCCCGGGCCTCTTCCCGGGCCTCAGTTTCCCCCAGCCTAAAATGAGGAGCGCGCTTGGCTGCGTGACCCCGGCCTAGTGACTGCAACTCTCTGGGCTCACGGAGGGGGCTTCCACACTGGGAGGACCCGGCATTAGCCAGACGCCCTCCCCTTCCTTCCCAAACCCCATCGAAGGTCGGCCCCCCCTCCCCCTCCTGGCTGGGGTACCCCGGACAAGGCCACACAGCTAGAGGGCGCTTCCACACTGGGAGGACCCAATGTCGATGAAATCCCAGGTTCCCATCCCCCCCACGGTCTGCGTCCTGTTGGCATGGTGGGGGAGGGGCGGAGTGTCCAGAGCTGGGACTGGAAATGACCGAGTGCGTGTCCTGCATCCTCACGCCCGAGGTTCCCGTCTGGCCAAAGGAAGGGGGGGGGCAGAGAACACTTAGCCCCCCCGGCCCCAACCCCTGAGACGAGAAGGTGGGGCTCCGCAGAGGTCAGGGCACCCCTTCCCTGCCTTTTACAGAGGAGGCAACTGAGGCCCAGAAAAGGGAGGGCATTTGCTCAAGGTCACGCAGGGGTTCGCCACCCTAGCCTGTGTCTCAGGCTTGTCACCCAGAGGCTTTGCCAGAGAGACCTTGGGCAGGTTCCATTCCCTCCCGGGGTCCCCAGGCCCATAGCCCCAAATTCTGTGTCTCTGGCGAGGTGAGAGGTCCTGGCTTTGAAGCCCTGGCTTCCACTCTGGCTCTACCACAGACTCCCTGAGTCGCTGACCTTGACCAGCCTCAGTTGCCTCATTTGTAACATGACGGTGTTGGACCAGAGCCTTCTGCAGCCCCTTGGTTGTCTCAATCCGTGACCCTATTTAGGTCCATGGGCTTCCCCTGGGAATGTCTGATCTGGGGACCCAGACGTGGGAAGGGCTCCTTCTAAAACAGAGATCAGCCCCGTTCTTCCTGACCCTGGAGGGTGGAACTGGAGCCCAACGGGCATCGAAAACATGCCAGGGACTTGGCCTACGGTATCTCATCTGAGCCCAACAACACAACAGTACAAGGTAGCTGCTACAAGCACCCATTTTACAGATGGGGAAACTGCACTCATGCTAGTGTTACAAGTGGCATTTGAACCCAGGTCACTCTAACAATCCAAGCTATCCAAGGATAGAATGGCCTGCCTCTGGAGTAAGGGTTTCCCTTCCCTGGAGGTCTAGAGAAGGCCAGATAACCTCCCTTGGGTGGGAGGGTGTTAGAGAAGGATCCTGCTCCCTTTTCAAGCATGGAAGAGTTGGACTCATTGGCTCCAGAAGTCCCCTCTCTATCACTTGAATGCTCTGGGCCTCAGTTTCCCCATCTGTAAAACAAGGGGGTCGGATTAGATGACCTCTGTGCTACACATCCTGGAGTCCTGCATTTTAAATAATGGCCTGTGGAATGGAGTGGAAGTGGGGAGAAGTCATTTGGGCCCGTTTAAAAGACTTTCATGTATTTGTTTGTCTTCTAGATGAAAGGATTGCTGGGAAGAAAACTGATTTTGGAAAAAGAAAACTGTAGAGATGAACAGTTTAAGATTTCTTCTGTAGATCTGGAAGACCAGCCCCTGCTTGGCGGGATTTCAAGCATGGAAGATGAAATTGTGACGGAGATTTTTAGCCAAGACAGTCAATTCATTTCTGAAAACATTAACCTGAAAAGCACCGTGATCAGTAAGCACGAAGATGATGAAGACTTCCATTCCTTTAAAGATGCCTACTTTGCTGTGGCTGACCCCGGGGAGACGCTGCTGCCCTCCTTCAACGCCCCCCTCAATGCAGAGTGCGGCAGTAAAGTCAAGGTCGAACGCCTGGCTGAGGAGAATAACGAGGACGAGATTCTCCCAGACTATTCGGGGCTGCCCGAGCTCTCCCCTTTGGAGGAGACCATGCTGCCCTCCCCGTCCCAGCTGCAGCCACATGCCTACAACGTCCACTTCCTGTCTTCCTTAAGGCCTCAGCACAGGAACCCCCCCAGCGTCCTGCCCGTGGGAACCTGGGCAGCCCGGGAAGGAGCAGCTCATCACAATGTCCGAGTGATCCCAGTAAGGTCCCTCCCTCTTTCCCACGCAGGAGTCCGGTGATCTTCATCATCCTCATCGAAGCCTCTGGGGGAGGGCTCGTTGCTGGATGACGTTAGCACTTGTTAACCGAAAGCATCACACTCTGTAGGGCTTTGTGAGAAGGAGTAGCTTCCTAGGCCAAAGCCGGGTGACCAGTCTCTTTCAGGGCTGGGACCCATCAGTTGATTCCAGAGTGGCCAAGTCGAGATAGTTCGGTTCATAGCAAATGAAGGGGGATGACGACGCTGTGGGTGGGAACACAGGTGACCTTGGTCAGCGGCAGTCTGAGCAGTTACCTAGGGGTGGTCCTCTGCTTAAACTCAGTGCTTTGTGCATAACCTGGGGGGGTCTGTTTGCCGGAGTCCAGTAAGGTGGGAGCCCCGCCCTGTAAGGAGAGCGACCGGGAAGCGTTTGGGTTGTGCTTTATAGCTATCATCTCATATCCTCAGCCTCCACATCAGGGGGGCTGCGTGGCTGTGGCTTAGATGTCCTGTTAACCCTGAAGTGTATGGGGATTAATCTCTTGACTTTGGCCTCATTAGCCCATATTCCAACCAGGTAAGCTGATTTCCCCAAATGCAACAGGCTCTGGATTGCTTAAGGTGAGTGGGATGTCCAGTGAGAGAAAGGGCTGAAGTACTTTGTTGACAAGCACACTCCTTTGCAGCTAGCCTGCTAGTGTCATTAATAATTACTAGTGTGACTGATAATTCGATTTGCCATTTCGCTTCTGAAACCGCTGTTATCTACATGATCTCATTTGAGCGTCCTGGCAGTCTTGTGCTCATTTGAAGTGAATTTGAGATAATTCAGGCAACAGTGAACAGGATTCCTCTAGTAAGTAGGGGCGGCTCTGGTGGGGGTCACAGTGCCATAGGCCAGGCCCTGAGCTCCAGGTCTGCCACAGCAGCCTCTAATTGGCTCCTAATTGACCTCCACTCCTGCTCCGATGCTCCTTCTGGTGTGGAAGCGATCCTGGGACCCTGAGCTGGGAAGGAAAGGTTTGAGGAGCCTGATCCCCAGAAGGCTGCTTGCCTGAAGGTGGTTCCAATGCTCTCTCTTCTTGTTGTGCCCCGCCCCCCTTCCCCAGAATAGAGTAGTCCACGTGGGATAGTCAGTTTCAATCAACAAAGATGTTCATTTCTTGGAAGGGAAAACAATGTTGCCAATCCTGGCATTCACCTGTGCAGGGGAGGTTGTCTGGCTCCAGGTCAGTGCTTGGAAATACTCAGATTTCAGGGACCTCCTAGAATTAACAAGGTGTCCCGGAAATCTTAGTGCAATTTCCCACTTTAGAAGCTTATCACCACACCAAGACTTTTGGGACTGCCTTTACACAAGGACGAGAGAAATGCTGGGTGGCAGGTGGGAGAGGGAGAGGAGGGGGAGAATCATTGACTTGGCAGCGTCTACACACAAAGAAAAGAATCTGAGGCGCTTTGGAGGTTGTCCTGCCTAACTGCCTCCATCCACTCTCCATTGAAAGCCCAGATAATTGCGGGAACTATCCCTATCACTCCACCAAGTTTGCCACTGTGTTCCTGGTTAATGAGCAGCCATATTCGCCTGGGAGTAAACAGCTCAATTACACAGACAGGAGGCCGAAAGGGGAGAAAAGGAAAATGAGCACACTCATTCATCATGGCTCTCTTTGCCCCTTCATCATGCCAGCTTTCTTTAATGGTGGCATCAGTATTCATGAGTAAACCTGATCGTCTGACTCCGGACCCGGGTGAACGTTTTTGGAGTATATTTCATAGTTTACGGGTGGCCAGGACCTCGGAGGTCACCAAGGCCTTTTGTCTCCCGGAGGAAGCCCAGCGGATGTTCAGAGGAGGCCAATCGTTAGAGGCGGAGCTCAGCTCTTCCTGTCCTTTCAGGCCATCGGTCGTACCTTCTGCCCTCCAGAGTCAAGGCGAGAACACGCCCCCTTCTTCTGTGGTGCCAGCTCTGCAAGGACTGGACAGCTTTCACCTCTTTAGGCTGATGTGCAGCAGCTTCTTCTGGGACTTTGTCAGGAGTTCCCCGATATCCTGGCCTTCAGGGCCGATCGGAGGAAATCCTGGGCATCACACCCCACGAGGAAGGACTTTGTCCTTCACGTCCCTCGCCTCCCCCAGATTTATTGAAGTCTGCTGGATTCGGGAGATGAGGAATCCTCCAAGATTCAGAGAACGTTATCAGGAGGATTTCGTAGGGGACAGGAAAATGCAGCGTGCCTGCCTGCCTCTTTTCTGTTTCCCTTTCAGTCCTGGGTTTGGGGAGTGCTAGGAGAGGTCCGAGACCCTCTAAAGCTGCCCCAGTGCGCTCAGGGGAGCGGATCTGGACCCCCGACTCCCCAAGCTGTAAGAAGAGGCATCTTTGTTCAGGAGGGAATCGACTTTGGCTGTCTGCACTGTCATTCACCTTGGGGGCTTCTAGGCACAGAAGAGCCGTGGCACAGCACAGCCTGGCATTGTTGGCTACCATGCAGTGGAATTCTCCAGATCGGGGTATCCGTCCCAGGGTAAAGTGGCCAGAATGGAACGTGGCCCCGCCGTGGGCCGCTGCTTTTCTCCCTCATTCCAGGCGCCAGCCCACAGTCCCCTTAGAGCGTTGGACCATCGGGTCCCTCTGGAGCCTTGTATTGCCCTTGCGGCCTTCAGACCCTAAAGACTCTTTCTTAGGACTCCCTCCATGCCACGAGCCTCCCACCCTGTACCTGGGCAGTCATTCTTGAGGGGTCTGGCATCCAAGATTCTGCTGTTCTGTCTTTGTTGATTTTTAAAGGAGCATCTGACCTGAGAGAGCCACGCACACCCCAGAGCCTAGCCTCTGGGGCTAGGGGTGGGGGGATCTCATGTGTACTTTATGTAAGATTCCTGGACAGACACAACTGCAGAGATAACTTTGTTCAGTGGTCCTTTGATTGTTTACGTAAAGTGAGGCCTAACACAGGGAAATGGATACCGGGGCACTGCCCAGTATCATGGAACAGGGTCCTCATAAAATCCAAACCAAAGATTCCCTGTAGAATATGAAGCTTTCCCAATGTCATCCCTTCTCTTTGCCTTTGACATGGCAATGATTACATTATGCTCCAGAATACCGCAGGGCCTTATCTCACACCCACAGTCACCCAGGAGATGAACAGTGCACACAGGAAAAAGGAAGTGGATAAACTCAAGGACACCTGCCCTCTTGGTTGTTGCACAAAGTTGGATGGGCGGCCCATGGAGTTAGCACAAAAGGGTATGTGTCTTGGAGAGTCTCTGGAGCTAGACAGGGGATGGGGTTTAATCCTGAACACTGGGAAGGAAAGAAGGGAGGAAGGAAGGAAGGAAGGAAGGAAGGAAGGAAGGAAGAAAGGGAGGGAGGAAGGAAGGGAAGGAGGGAGGGAAAATGAAGGAAAGGAGGAAGGAAGGGAGGAAGGAAGGAAAGAAGGAAGGAAGAAAGGAAAGAAAGGAAGGGAGGAAGGAAGGAAGGAAGGAAGGAAAGAAAGGAAAGAAGAAAGGAAGGGAGGAAGAAAAGGAGGGAGGAAGGAAGGAAGGGAAGGAGGGAGGGAAAATGAAGGGAGGAAGGAAGGAAGGAAAGGAATGGAGGATAGAAGGGAGGGAGGAAGGAAGGGAGGGAAGGAAGGAAAGAAAAAGGAAGGAAGGCATTAAGCAGCACTTGGACCCCAAGGTTTGGAACTACCTACCCTTCTTAGTGTCAGTATTCTCGTCAGTGCTGAAACATGGCTGCAGTTCACGGAATGCAACGATCCTGGAAGAAGGAATCACAGGGAGGGGAAGACACGTGGTGGGTGTGAAGAGACTGTGCGTCTTTCCAGTGATAACGCCAAAGGGGCGCGTGTCCTAAAAAAAGGAGGTGGACTGGTCAAGTGCCCTGCTGCCCGGCAACTAGTGAATGATTTAAAGCAAGAATATCAAAAGCCAATAGAAACAGGGCCAGTGACCCATACGTGATGACCCCTGTTGGCCACATACTGATTTAGTTTTAAATGTATTGTTATCTGTTGGGAGTGTTGTAAGCCGCAACCACGAGCCTTGTGTTTGCCACCCCCGATTTAAAGGAAGGTTTCTGGTGTGTCGGGCAAATCCTGTGTTACTTCTGAAGAAGCTGAATAAGATCTCAGAGGCAAATCTCTGTTGTGTCGGGCAAATCCTCTGTTACTTCTGAAGAAGCTGAATAAGATCTCAGAGGCTGAGCAGGAAACGACAGGCTGTGCCTCTCCTCATGGAAAAGGGCTATTGGCATTAGAAGAAGTGTGTCTGAGTCAGCAAAGGCGCGATCGACATTTATTGCCGTGACAGCATTTTGCTGTATTTGGCCCTTTTGCTCCAACCTGTGACAGACTTTGTGGAGGTTGTTTCTGTGGTTGCGCCCCATATTATTATTATCACCCATCTTTTTGTCACCCATAGAGTTGATAAGCAAACCATCTGTAACTTCATCTGCCTCCTTGATGAAAATGTTGGCCAGCACAGGGCCAAGCCCAGAGCCCAGCAGCAGCCCACCAGTGACCTGGGTTGCCATCATTCCATTAATCAGTGCTGTTGGGACAGCTCCCTCTGCCAGCCCCCCTTTCCCCCATGTTGCCCATGAGGATTTCCATAATGACAGACTCTGCCAAATGCTTAGTCGAAACCTAAATACCCTGTCTTGAGCACAATGCCATGGAAATAGCTGCTTAATACATGCCTGTTGACTTTAATTGAATTTGGTGACTGTCTACAGCTGTCTCTTAACCTACCAGGCTAGTAACCATATCAAAATAAGGAAATTAGTTTAGTCTGGCATGACTTTTTCTTAACAAATTCAAAATTGCCTCAGAGTGACCATTGCTTTCCTTCCTAAGTGCTCAATTTGAATTTTATATGTCTTGTAATTCCTATCAAGGACTCAGTCTCAATGACTAATACCTCATCTCCTGCTATTTGCTTCAACTGGCAAATGACTATCTTTTGCAAGAAATAACTATGGAACCCTAATTAATAAATTTTATAACTAATCACTGCTATGGACTTTCACTGCTAATAGTAACTTCATCAAAGGACTGGCTTTTTCTTTGCTTGGGTTCCTACTACAGCAAAGCAGATCCAGCTTCCCAGGAAACAGTTGGCGGTTAGCCTGAAACTTCAAAGTCAGACATTAGCATAGACCTGCCCTGCATCCAAGGCCAAGCCCATCCTGACCCCTTGGCGCTGAAGAGCTCCAGGAAGAGGATCTGGGACCATTCTGGCGGTGCCACATTTCTGCAGTTTTAGTGAGGCCGACATACTTACATCATGCAGAGACATGGTAATAGCTAATTTATCATATGCCTGGAGCATAGATGGGCAGCCAGGTGGTGCCATAGTACATGGAGCACTGGGCCTGGACTCAGGAAGACTCATCTTCGTGAGTTCAAATCCAGCCTCAGACACTCCCTAGCTGTGTGATCCTGGACAAGTCACTTCACCCTGTTTGCCTCAGTTTCCTCATCTGTAAAATGAACCGGAGAAGGAAAATGGCAAACCATTTCAGTGTCTGTGCCAAGAAAACCCCCAATAGGGTCATGGAGAGTCAGACAAGACTGAAAATGACTGAACAACATCCACAACAAAATGGAGCATAGATAGTGGGCCCCAACTGCTATTTAAGCATCCTTACAGAGGTTTGAGTTGCAAGGCAGGATGGAATTCTATAGAGGGAAGGAAATGGTAAAGATTTACACATTAGAGAACAGATAGAAGAAGGGAAAGATCTGTATCAGGTAAAAAAATCAAGTCACTAAGCACACAGAATAAAGCTAGAATTTGCAGGCTGCCCACTCCTATTGGAGCTGTATCTGGTTACTCAACATGCTTATCTTAAGTAATAAAACTGATAAATAATAAAGTAATAAGGCTGAGCCAGAAATTTTCTTATTGCTAGCCAGTTAATCACCAGCGCTGAAATTTGATGTCAGTCAACTTCTGCCAGCTCCGGCTAGTCGTGTAACTGGCTGTCTTAAGGAAATGATGGGCATAAGGCGAATTCAGAAAAATTCTCCTATCACACCACCTTACTGGGGCATGCCTCAGGCTTGCTCTCTATGGCATAGTGTGTGAGAATCTAGGGTAGTCTGTACTTCAGAGTGAGATGTCCATCTGTCTGTCCGTCCACCTGTGTATCTGTATGTCTGGAGAGACATATCCATGATTGATATACTCCTTTTATTATAAACTTAAGTGTTTGCTTTCTGCCTCGTAACCAGCTTTCATTTTGACATGTTGCTTTCAAGAGTAAACTATTCTGTAGGTGATTCCACTTTGATCACACAGGAGAAGCTGAGGCAGCTTTTATTTCACGTGCACTTCTGGCCAATTGCAGGGGCCAGCCATGAGTGGATGTGGCAGACGCCTCTGCCCCTCCTCCCCCAACCACAGAATGTGGAATTTATTTGAATTGAAGGAGCTTTCCAGCCTTTTGTTGTGGACACATCTGCCTCTGAGAATGATAACGATGAAATATGGATGGTCGAGCAACGGATTTATTAAGTAACTCTCATTTCAGGGCCCCTTTCTGCCTTCTATTCTCCGTGGAATGTTCTTTTCCCATGTTGCAGGGGTTTTTTAACCTGGAGTCGGTGAGCTTTTTAAAAATAAATATCTTGACCACTGTATCTCAGGGGAATTGGTTTTCTTTGTGCTCCTATATGTTTTATGCCTTTAAAAAACATGATTCTGAGATGGGTCGATGGGCGTGGCCCAGGAAACAATGAAGAGTAAGAACCCCAGCCTAGGCGCGTCAGCTCCCATGTTTGACTCTCAGCACTCAGCACAGTGCTTGGCACATGGCAAACACGTTTCCCTCACATGTTCGTCTTTGCGCTGGGCGATGCGTCTTAATGAATATTTGTTGACTTTTGCTTGAGCTCCCCTCAGCTGCTCCGTGGCTTATTTGGAGAGGGGAAGCAGACGTGGTTTCCTTGGTAACAGTAACTCGGCCACAAGCCTAGTCCTCTGTTCGTTGGGCCACACAGCCCCTTTCTCTTTGTTATTGAACCACTACACTTATTATGGGATTACAAGCAACGGCTTTGACCCAGACTAGAGCACTCAAATGAACCTTCTAAGCATGATTAAGGAATGGGGGAGGGGTCCATTCCATGCAGTTTCGATGACCTCTACGTGCGATGGGAACAGCTTCTGCCCGCCTGACCTTCGTAAAGATGGGGGGACTAAAACAGGTCAGAGGGTCTTCATCCCCCCAGCAGGGTGGACCCTAAATGCCCCATGGATTCTTAATGCCTTGCAATTCACTCCATGATACCAGTGATATCTGTTAGACCAGTATGTGACAGCTCCTGTCTGACATGTTCCACCCCCAGGAAAGTAAGGTCTGTACTAGAAACTCCTGCCAGACCAGACATCATTAAATTTCAGTTAAGGACTTTGTTTGCTTAACGAGTATTCTTTTTTAATAGAACTAGAGTTGGGATTTTCAGTCCTTTGTAACTATCAAGGTCAAGGCCCACAGCTCAGGTTCTGAAATGACTGTGCTTTTCCTAGGTGGAGATAAGGGAAGCCGTTGGTGCCATTACTGCTACCAACCAGGAAGAGGGAGTTTTTCCGAATGCACATGCCCCGGAGGGCTGCTGCAAGTTCCCACCCTCACAAGAACCCATCGAGAGCTCCAGCTGTTCACATAAGAAGGAATCTAACCCGATGGTAAGGAGCGTCATCAAGAGTCTGCGAAACTTTGACTCATAGAGTCACACATTAATTCATTGCCACGGTTTGTCACGTGCCTCTTTCCCTGGGGTCTGCTCTCTGGCTTACCTAGCATTCTTCCTTAGTCCTATGAATGCCAGAGCTTTATTCTAACCTGCAGAGTGCTTGATCTCCATAGAGATCATTTAAGTGGGATTCCAGACTGTGAATGACTGAACTACTTAGCCAGAAGTGAGGATGCCCAGGATCGCAAGGCTGGACTGTGAGCCCACGAGCAGTCTTGGGAGCATTTTCTGAACCGAGCCAGGTGGCCACGAAGCACTTACAGTCAGAGCAAGGGTAGGCACAAAAAGCCTCCTTACTGATCCTTCCTTCAGCCCGTTTGGCAGAATAAGCATCCGGTATGGCAGGAGCCAAGGAAGGAGGGACCCCAAGGAACTTCCCTAGGGAGTTACCCAGATGCAAGCCAAAAGTCACCTTTCTATGCTAGCCCCATGCTAAGGGAAGGGAACCAGCACTTACTAAGCACCTACTGTGTGCCAGCCACCGTATTAAGCACTTTACAAATAGCTCATTTGATCCTCACAAGAACCCTGTGAAGCATTTGTATCCCCATTTTATAGGTGAGGAAACTGAGGCAGGTGGAGGTTAAGTGACTTGTTCAAAGTCAGAAGCTATAAAGTGCAAGACTGGATTTGAATTCAGGAAGATGAGTCTTTCTGACTCTGGGGCTCTATTCACTGTGGCACCACCTAGCTATTCGTTGCAGTGAATATCTAGTCTTTATTTTTCACTTAAAGATCAGACTGTCAGAAACCCCTAGAGAGAATCCAGCCACGCACATGGTTCCAGAGAGTTTGTTACGGGCTGCACCTCCCTCACCACCCAGGTACAGGAAAGGGACAGAGGGGGTTTACTAGGCTGCAGCTCTGGAGAGCAGATTACATGGCTAAAAACAGGGAACAGAGCATATGAAGAACATGAATTTTTCTCCCCTTCTTTCCTGAGGCTCTAAATTCTTGGAGATTGAAGGCATTCTATAAGGTTTTTATACCCATATCATTGTAATGACCCTTTTAAAATGTGGTGTGGCTTCTTTTTCATTTTAGGTAATATGTCAGCTGAAAGGGGGAGCCCAAATGCTCTGCATCAACAATTCAGGTACCAGGGAGCTCAAAGCTGTTCACCTAGTTCCTCAGTATCAGGAACAAAACAGTTACCTGCAGCCAGGTACAAAGTCAATGGAGAAATAATGTCTTGTTTCTCTTCTATCTGTCATTTGGGTGAGTCAGTGTGTTTGCGGGGAGGGAGAGAACCATGATGGGATGACAGTGGTTGGGGGACAGTTCATCTGGGAGACTCAGAAAGCATTGATTACTGATGAGAAGAGCAAGAAAGCTCCCCGTTACACTCCCCAAGGACAACCAACATGCACCTTTTGGATCAAGATAGCTGGTGGTGCCCGAGTGTTTCTCTGTGTCTAGTCTTAATTGTGGGCCAGAAGACCTGTAGAAACGAAATTGGCAAGTAGAATTTTTATAGGTTGATCTAACCCGGTTCAGTATGGTAAAAGATAATCAGAAATGGGAATGCAGTCACTGAAAGTTGGTCCTATGCTGTGAAATTTTCTTGATTCCAAACTATCTATATTAGAGGCTGTTTTTAAAAATTCTGCCATCCCCAGATGTCTCTTAATAGGCCCTTCCCGGCTTTACCAGCACAATGATAACTGATAGTGGCTTACTTCTGTTGTTTGTGATAATGACCCAAAGTATTATGAGAAACTAATTGTGGTCTCTGAGTGATCAAAGATAAAACCCAGTGCACGTTCAGTGTTAAAAGTATTGAGTTGCACATGTTGGTGGCCTAGGTAGGAAAGAGAACGCTTTATGAGGGAGACTGCCCCCTTCCTTGGCCTTAACTGACACAGTTTACCTGCCTGTCAGTAATTTTAGTGGGCTACTTTGGCTCCAGACTAGTTCGATCCCCTCCAGCCCAACATCTCCATCCTTCCTACCAAGGACAGCAGCATCCTTCACTTTATCAGAACAGATGAGGCCCAAGGAGAAAACGTGCAGGGATGTTGGAGGAATGCCCAGTTAGCTCCTCATCAGCTTACTGGGCTCCTGCTTCAGGCATCCATAGCCCAGTACTGCAGTGCAGTGAGGCAGCCTGTGCTTGGGAAGGGCTCCTCCGCCATCTTCTTGGCTCCTTTGGGCTGGCTGACCAACCCCAACCAGCGTCCATCCCCAGAGCCACAGAGGAAAAAGCTGGGAGGTTCAGTTTTGTTGGGCATGTGAGCATTACACAATCTGGGTCCATGCGGTGTCATTACGTAAGAAATACACCCCATTTAATGAGCCCTGGGATCCAACAATGATTTAGTGCAGGAGCTGGGGACTGGAGAAGGGAAGGTGGAAGGAGGAAGCAACCTGCACATGTGAAACTGGTCAGTCTGCTTTTGAGTGCTCAGACCCTGGGATGCCTCATGGAGTCCAGGACAGCTATTCACCAACCTGGTCAGAAATCTGTTGCCTCAGGAAGTTTTGCAAAACAAAGAAAATCTAATAGGATTGATAGGTAGAAGATGAATTTTCTATGCTGTAAATTCATTTAAATTATGTTTTCCTTGCAGATGTGCCTAAACCTTTGACTACCATAGTTGGAAGATTTCTGCCAGTACCAGCTAAATTAAATCTTGTCACACAACAAGTGAGTCATTGTTTTAATTTTTTTTTTAAAGTCAGGCACTGCTATCTCTCTAAATTCAGACTGTTGCCATCAAAATAATTCAAGTTTTGAAGGGTTAATACTCTATTTTCATTCAGCAAATATTTATTAAATGTTTACTGTGTGTTAAAGATCATGGAAAATGCAAACAAATAAAATATGAGGTGACCTTTTAAAAACCTTACAGTTGGGCTAAAACTAATGTAGGTGACACAGTGAGTGAACAATCTTTGTTAAATGGTGTGAGAAAGCCTTCCGAATCCTGTAGGAGTTCAAATAATGAGCCAATGAATATTGTTCATGGAAGGAGGAAAACCAAGCCTGGGAGGGAGGAGGAAAAGAAGCAAGAGGAGAAGGAGAAAGAAGAGGAAGAGAAGAAAGAGGAGGAGGAGAAGGAGGAAGAGGAGGAGGAGTTCGGTCTTGGATGGATGGGGGGGTGGACAGTAGAAGAGGAGGGGGTGCTGAGGGAAGGGAACACACAGCATAAGTGAAGCCAGGCAGTGTTGAGGGTCTTCATAAAAAGTGTCATTTGTATGTAACAGGGGTTCATTCAGTCCTTTGCTCCCATCTCGGGCCACCAGAGCAGTGGCCCTGAGGTGGGAGGAAATGTGGCTCTGACCCTTCCTGGCTATGTGTCCACAAGCCAGTCTTATCTGTAAAATGGGCATGATGGAAATCCACTGCTGACTTCTCAGGGTAGTTAGGAAAGGCTTTCATAAGCTCAGCGTATCACCAAGACTTGGGTCTGATTCTCCACGGAGACCATGCAGAGCCCAGATGCTTAATGACTGTTTTAGGGATGGTCTGGAGAACGGATTGTCCTACAAAAACATGCATTTATTTTCTAAAAAGGTAAAGCCTCAAATTAGGGCAATGTCAAGGACATAGCCCTGGCCGCTGGTGTCCTGAAATCAGCTGTTCTGATGGGTTCCACCAGCCAACTCAATCCAAAAGCCTGTTTGGCATCTTTTTTTCTTTTTTTTAGAAACCAGTTGGTTGGGCGGGCTGCATTTGGGTAGTGGAAGCATCAGCTCAGTCCATCAGGGATGGTGTGCTCTTCAGTGGCTGCAGGGAAAATGCAGGTCCCAGAGGCAGAAGTGACGGGAGAATACTTGTAGCTTAACACTGGAGAGTGGAGGAAGTCTGTGTATCCATTGACTGGGTGGTGAGAGAGTGAGCATCCTGGCAAGACTGAGTCTGGACTAACCACCCAAGGGTGTGGTAGAAGTGATTCTGACTTGGAGAGACAAACTGGACTCAGTCATTACTCCCACCTCAAAGATTCTGTGATTCTCTGGGCCTGCCTGTGCTGTGAAAGGGGAGGGGGTCATAGGACCGTTTGCTGGCTGACTGCCATTGAATGACCTCTCCCTTGGCAGGGTTATGACTTCTGGCCCAAGGGTCTACAAGAAGGCTTCTGTAGATTTCTTCTAGTACAGCCCCGGGGCAGGGGGCAGAGTCGGGGAAGGAAACCTTATCAAAGCTCACACTGAAAAGTAAAAGGAAGGAAAGACCCCTTTGTACAGTGGAGGTGGCCAAGTAAGGGGCTTCCTTGAGGAAAGGGAGGCAAATAGGGTTAAATGACTTGCCCAGGGTCACACTGCTAGTAAGTGTCAGGCTAGATTTGAACTTGGGTCTTCTTTTTAGAAATTCAATTTTATTTTACCTTCAGTTCCAAATTCTCTCCCTCCCCCTCCTTCTCCTCCACCCATTGTGAAGGCAAGAAAAACAGAATTCATTACAAATATGTATAGTCATAACAAAAAAATTCCTGCATTAGCCCTGTCAAGGGGGGGGGAGACAGAGACAGAGAGACAGAGACAGAGAAAGAGGAGAGAGACAGAGAGAGAGAGAGACAGAGCAACAGAGAAACAGAGAGACAGAGAGAGAGACAGAGACAGAGGGAGAGAGAGAGACTGAGACAGAGAGACAGAGAGAGAGAAATCTGCTTCTATCTGCAGTCAGGGTTCATCAGTTCTCTCTCTCCAATGAGAGCACTTTTCATCATGAATCGTTTGGAATTGTCTTGGATCATCACCTGGACCCATCGCCAAGTCTTTCAGTGCTGCCTTCTGGTTCTGCTCACCTCACTTTGCATCAGCTCATCCATGCCTTTCCAGTTTTTTTCTGAAACCATCCCCCTCGTCATTTCTTATAGCACAATAATATTCTATCACAATCACATACTACAACTTGTTCATCCATTCCCAATTGATGGGCACTCCCTCAGTTTCCAATTTTTTGCCCATTACAAAAAGAGTTGCTATAAATATTTTTGTATACATGGATCCTTTTCCTTTTGATCTCTGGGATACAGACCAAGTAGTGGCATTGCTGGGTCAGAGAGTGTGCAGAGTGCTTTTTTGGTCATAATTTGGTCATGATTCCAAAGTGCTTTCCAGAATGGCTGGACTAGCTCACAGCTCCACCAACATTGCATTGCGTTATTGTTCAGTCGTTTTCAACTGTGTTCGACTCTTCCTGACCCCGTTTGGGTGTTATATTTTGTCAGAAGCTTTTTCCATTGAAATAATCCAGTGATATGGTTGTTTTTGTTATTAATGGAGTCGATTATGCTGATGATTTTCCTAATATTGAACCAACCCTGCTTTCCTGGTATAAATCCTGGCTGGTCATAGTGAATGATCTTTGTGACATATTGCTGTCATCTCCTTGCTGGTATTTTATTTAATTTTTTTTGCACCAATATTCATTGGGAAATTTTCTATAGTTTTCTTTTTCTATTTTGACTCCGCAATTTAAATGTCAAAACCATATATGTGTCAGAAGAAATTTGGAAGGACTCTTTTACTTATTTTTAAACAGTTTATGTAGTATTAGAATTAATTATTCTCTAAATGTTTAATAGAATTTACTTGTGAATCCAACTAAATCTTTGGAAGACTTTTTCCTTTGGAAATGCATTTATGACTTAATCAGTTTCTTTTTCTAAGATCGGGCTATTTAAGTATTCCTGTTTCCTGTTATGATAATCTGGACAATTTATATTTTTGTAACTATTTATCCATTTCATTTACCTTGTCAGTTTTATTAGCTTTTAGTTGGGCAGAATTGCTCCTAATAATTGTTTTGATTTCTTCTTCATTAGCTGTGAATTTACAGTTTTCATTTTGAATATTGGTAATTTGATTTTTTTCTTTTTTAAAAATCAAATTATTTTTGCTTTTGTTTTGCCTGAAGTAATTTCCTCCTCTGCCTTTTTTACTTTAACTGAAGCATAATAGATTCTGCTCCAGCCTGTTATTTTAACTCTATGTGTATATTTTTGTTTCAAGTGTGTTCTTTATAAACGACTTTTTGTTGGATTCTGGTTTCTAAGCCATTCTGCTGTCTACTTCTATTTTATGAGTGAGTTCATCCCATTCACATTCATAGTTACGATTGCTAACTTTGTTTTTTCCTCCATATTTTTCCTTCTCTTTTTTCCCTGTCCCCTCTTTAAGAGTCTGTTTTGTTTCTGACCGTTCTCTTCCTTAATCTATACTCCATCTTAATTCCTATCCCTTTTTCTTTTAACCCCTTTCCCTCCTATTTCCCTGTTGGTAAAATGAATTTCTGTACCTGTGTATCTATGTATTTTTTCCTACTTTAACCAGTTCAGATGAGAGTGAAGCCCAAGTGTTGCATAAACTCTTTCTTTCACACCTCATTTATGTGGGAGAATTTTCTCCGTTCTTCCTCTTCCTTCCTCCTCTCCCAGTGCATTCCTCTTCCCCACCTTTCCATTCTTCTTTTGACAACATCCACATACGATAGAATCACGTCAAGGCCCTCTGTCTAATTAGACTCCCTCTAAGACTTCTGGTAATAATAAAGTTCTGAGGGATTACGTATATCCTCTCCCCATACGTAAGAATATGAATAGTTTAACTTTGTTTAGACGGTTATGATTTCTTAATCATGTTTATCTTTTTATACTTGTCTTGAGTCTTGTGTTTCAAAGTCAAATTTTCTACTTAACTCTGATCTTTTTTTTAGAAATGCTTAGAAACTCTATTTAATTAAAGGTTCATTTTTTTCCACTGTAGGATTAAACTCAGTTTTTCTGGGTAAGTTATTCTTGGTTGTAAGCCTTCTGGTAAGTCATGTTCCAAGCCCTCCATTTCCACAAAATGCTGGCTGCTAAATCTTGTGTGATCCTGACTTTGGTTCCTCAGTATTTAAATTCTTTCTTTCTGACTACCTGCAGTACTTTTTCCTTGAGCTCTCATTTAGACTCTAATATTCCTGGGAATTTTCAGTTTGGATTTTCTTTCAGAAAGTGATTGTTTGATCCATTAAATTTCTCCTTTGTGTGGTGGTTATAAGATATTCGGGCAGTTTCCATTTATGATTTTTTGAAAAATGTTATCTAGGCTTGCTCTTGTTCATAGCTTTCAGGTAGTCCAGTGATTCTCAAATTATCTCTTCTGATCTGTTTTCCATGTCAGTTGTTGTATTTTACAATTTCTTCTATTTTTCAATCTTTTGACTTTGTTTTATTATTTCTTGATGTCTCATGGGGTCATTAGATTCCGTTTAACCAATTCTAATATTCAAGCAGTTACTTTCATCAGTAAGGTTCTGTATCTCTTTTCCCAAGCTGTTAATTCTCTTTTCATTTCTCTCTTCCATACCTCCCATTTGGTTTTTTAAAATCATCTCTTGGCTCTTTAAAAATCTCTTTATTAAACTCTTCTAGTAATCTTGTTGAACTTGTGTCCAATCTTCATTTTTCTTTGAGGTTTTACTTGTTGGTGTTTTCAAGTCATTGTCTTTTTTCTGTGTTTCTGTCTAAAGCTTCACTGTCACCATAGAAGCTCTTTATGTTCAGGTTCTTTTTTCTTTTTCTGCTTATTCTTCCAGCCTATTTCTTGACATTGGACTTTGTGCTAATGTTGAGCTTGGTTCACCTCTGGGTGTGGGAGGGCATGGCAGACCACCTGTCTTTTTATGTCTTTCTGCTGCTTTCATAACTCAGTCTGGCACCCTTCAGGTTTTCAATACTCCCAAAGTGATGTGATCCAGAGTATCTGCACACTGCCCTTGTGGTCTGTAAGTTCCTGACCCAGGTAAAGATGACAGTTGGGGATCACCTCATAATTTTACCAGTCAAGCTCAGTGGCCTATCATTTGAAGACCTTCATTTTTATTGGTCAACCTGTACCCTTGTCCAGTTCTTTAATACCATTCTCATTCTCCAAGACCTTTGAAAGATCACCAACAGTGGTTCGCCAATCAGCTGGCCACCTCCTCCAGTGTCCTGGGCCTGCTACTGACATGACATGAGCTCATTATGGGCAGCTACAAGCTCTCTTCCTGTCCCCTTACTTTGCTTGGCCTTTTAATTCTGTTCTTTACATTATAAAGGCCATTCTTAGCAGAAAAAAAATGGAAGCAAAGTTCAAGTTGAGTTTTGTCCTTTCTCTGTCTGCTCTAGTCATCATCTCACCTGTCCCCAAGGAGCAGTAGTCTACTCTCTTCTTTGCTCATCTTTTCTCCAATATGAGAGGACACGGGGCACAATGGAGAGAACGCTGACTGTGAGGCTGGGAATCCTGCGCCCTGGACACGTACAGGTTGTGAGGTCCTGGCCAAGCCTCTTAAGCTCTCAGGGCTTTGGGCAGCTCTTTGAGAATCTGGAGTGCTGAGGAGTTGCTCATCTACATTGTAGAAGGAGCTTCCTCACCTGGGAGTTTGGACTCCCAGTGAAATCCCAGGTCCAGTCCCCATCCCTCACCTTTTCCTCACTGGCATCAGTTCATTCTGGGCACTGGTGCTTGGGATGTTCTTCTAGGACTGTGCCGTGACATAATGGCCATCGCCTGCACCAGCCCTTGCCCCCACTTCCCTTTGCAACCCCATCCAGGAGAATTCAGTCTTTTGTGTCTCCAGGCTGTTGTTCTTGAGGATGAAGTTTTCCATCCCTCCTGGACTGATCCCCCTGGGAAATTTTAAGCCCTGGGATCCTTCTTCTAGCACTTGAACCTGCTTCTCCAAAGTCTGGGGTGTGTCCACCTCCTCCTGGTTTCCTTTCTTCCATCACAAATTCTAACATGTAATGGTCATTTCCCCCCCAGAGTTCTTGTTGCTAGTACCTGGTAACTAACTCCTTTGTGGATGAAAACAGGCCTAGAAAAGCAATTCTGCTCATTGTTCCTCCACCTTTTTATATCCAGAGAAAAAAGATGTCCCCCACATCACTGTTTATATTGTTTCTGCAAAGAAGAGGGGGCAGACTTCAGAGTCCAACTTTTGTTTTTCACACAGAACTAAATCGGGTGGGAAAAGTCTCTTTGGAACTTTGGGAGAAAAAAAATCTCGATAAGAGAAGCAAAGATTGCATATTAGAATGGACCTTCCAGCAAACTGTCATCACTATGAAACACTTACCATTGGGTCCTCTGTCATATTAAACAAAGGAAGTAAATGGCTCCTTAGTAAGGCAAGAGGAAGGTCTGGCGTTGGTCACTTTGTCTCAAGTAAAAGTAGAGGTGTTTTCTGTTGCGGATTCATTTTTTTTCCTTGTGGAAAGTCACTGACTGAAGCTTTGCCATAATTTCCTGCCAAGAGCTCCAACTGCACTGTGTGATGTCAGGCCCCATGAGGGCATTCAGATAATCTTGAGAGAAGGAGAAAGGGGAGGAGGGCACAGAAAAGATAAAAGAAAAGGGAGAAGCATAAGAATTTATTTGGAGCCTATGCAAATGCTTCTTAAATACCCTCAGGTTTTAATTATTTATGTTTATGAAGAAAATGGCTAATGTGGATAATGAAAGTCGACAAATAATTCAAAGGCTAGCTTTTAGCTAATAGTTTTTAACTGTACTCCCCAAATCCTTTGATCAGAGCTACTCATAAAAAAGAGAAATAATATAAACTTTATTTCATTCTCTCCTTATGTCCTGGCTATGGCAAAGGAAGAAGTAAAGAAAAAACTGGCTAATTTGTCCATGAACATAGGAAAATTAAATGAAAAATGTTTGTTGGATTGAAAAAAGTTCTATTTGGAAAAGTCTTGCCAATGTAGAGGTTTCAATATGAAGACTTCCCAAAATGCTAATAATTGTACATATTTCTGAGCTATTTGCTGGAGCAAATTTCCATCCATTCCTCTCCTATCAAGGTCACAGCCAAAGCATTAAGTAAATACTCTGTGTATGGGGGAGGGGAGGGCAGACAGTTGATTTAATTCTATCAGAAACAGATATGTGGTATTTTCTATAAAAAGAGGTTGCTTTCAAAACTTATTTTTCTTGCGGTTCAAATAATTTGAATACATTGACTACATTGCCTCAAACCTATTGGTTCAAACCCAAACCTGAGTTGTTGCAAGACCTCCAGCCCAGGGTGCCGATGCTAGCGCTGGGGACTTGGGAATCACCCCAATGCGTAGAAAAGCACTCTGGATCTGAAGGGTGCCAAATCATTGTTGAGGCAGGGAGTGAACATAAACTTCAGGAAAATGAATCCATTTCACCCAGAGGCTCACTGACGGGCATTCCTTAAAATCAACCTTTTAATTTTTAAAATTCTCGCCTTTCGTTTTGAACAGCTTGATAATGGCGCCTTCTCATCGGTAGTTAATGGAACCACCTTTCCTTCAGGATCCAGTCTTCAAGGGCCAGCAAAAATAACGTTAGCTGGGTAAGGACTTAAAGAAATAATAGAGTGATTTTAATGTAAGAGTATGTGCTTCAGCTCTGTGACAGTAGGAAATGTACCTCGTAGCTGGGCCTCTGAGACTTGGCTCAGACAGGGCAGATGTGGCTACAAAGGGTGACAGGCGCGACCTGCCTTTGTTCCACACTAATTGTCGGTCATTGTCATGATTGTGCGCGATTGTGCTGTCTGTAGCGCTGGCTTTTTGGTTTCGTTTTAGCTCGCGCTGAGCCCCTCTGTTTTTGATTGCCTGTTCATGCAATGAATCGGCAGCTTCTCTCCCCAGCCACACGCAGGCCTGTTTCCTTGAGGATGCCGTTAGAATGCCTTTTCTGCCCCAGCAGCTCACGATCACCCACTATGACGGGCTACCTCATTGTTGCTCATCATGTAACTATGACATCCTCTTGTCATGTATAGATAAGGTTCATAGATGTCACTAAGAAAACTAAACCTGAAGCCAACTGGAGGATGCTTGCCAAGGTCCGGTTCAAATGTGCCCTGCCCACCCGCAGAGCGGTCTGGGCCGGCCTGTCACTTCACTGGGACGTTGGAGCTGGAGGCTAAGCATTCTCCATAAGCACGCATCCTGCACTGTCCTAATGGCCTGTACACATAAATGTGGGCGCACAGGCCCAGGGCCTGTAAGGGGCATTGGGCAACGGGGTCAAGTATGACCCACGGTCAGGTCGCTGCCTCTGTCCTAAGAGGTCTCTGCCCCTGGGACATGGGTAAGTGTAAGGAGAAGTGTTTTTAGACACAAATATCAGGTACGGTTTGAGTGATTCCTTCACTGGGGTCACTGCTGAGACCCTAGAATGGAATGATGATCGTGAAGGTTTGGGATGGTTCTCTCACTTTGCCTGATGCAGCTCAGCAGAAGGGCCTTTTGGCTGTGCTTGGGTGGCTGATGACATTCTGTCAGAGAATCAAATGAGCCCCCATTGGTGGTTATCCTCGCTTGATGCTGTGGGTGGGGAACGGGCTGAACGCAATGGTCCCAGTACCCACGCGAATGGCTAGAGCAACATGGAGGACGAGCATGTTCGAGCACCCAACTATTGCTTGGGTTTTATAAATGAAGGCGGCATGAAGGCTCTTTTCTGCTCCTCCTCCTTCAGCTGACAGCGCCATCTCACCACGTGTTGTAGAACGTCTAGCACATTCAAGGGAACCTGATTCTTACTGTGCAGTGACGTTGGCTTTTTAACACGTGTCCTCTCCAAATTAGTGCGGCTTAACGCCGCACTCACTGCGGTGTGAGTAGGGTGCTTCTCATGCCAGACACAGTTGTCCTCGTGGCTCAGAAGTGTTTGTGTTGAATGTCAACCTGCATCACATTTTCCTTTTTCAAATCTTGTGTCTTGTATTTACTCTGCAGTGACTGTGCAGACCACAGGAGGTTTCTTTTCTAACCGATGTCTCAGGAATTGCATGATATGGACCATGTTTTTCTTTTTGCTTTTGCCGCAGACAGCTGCTTGATTCTGAGGTTGTATTCCCTGAAATAGTCCTGATGACAATTTCTCCCTTCTATCTACAATGCTGAAGAAATGCTGGAATCCATAGTTGGCATGTCCCCACTATTATTGTCAGGGTTTGTAATTGGGAAGCTGACTTAGGAAGCTGTTTGAGGATGAGTTAATTATGCTTAAGTTTTCAGCCATATGTTTGATTCAATGTATCCATTTGCCTCTTGAATGAGTTCTACTCACAGAGATCCTTCTCTGACGCCCAGGTTGGCCCTGGAAACCGGACTGGTTATGGGGACCTCAGAGGAACAGCTGCCTCAGCCCAATCTGATCTAAAAGGTGGCTTAGAAGCAGGTCAGCTCAGGCCCAGAACAGTGACCTGGTCTAACTTCATTTACAGAGAAGGAATGAGCACAGTGACTTAATAAGGCAACGCGTCGCCTGGCAGCCAAAATGGCTGGACATCTTCGGATCTCTTGTCAGACAGCGATTTAAATTCTGACCCTTTTTCCTTCCTATGCTCAGAGGGTGGTGGTGTGTGTTGCTAGTTTGGAATCAACTTCTTTGAAAACATTTTTCCTTAAAAGCATAGACAGATTTTACTGTGGGTGGGACACTTTAGTTGTAATTCTGTCCAGAAGCATGGCTTGTATGCAGTGAGTTGTCAAATTCCCTCTGACTTCCCAGATTCCCTGATATCTATCGATTGGTAGTCAATTACTGTTAGATTCTCAAAGTCTGAGGATTCCTCCAAATCCAAACACTGTGACCATAAGAGTCTAATTCAACAAGCATTTATTAAGTGCCCTTGGTGTGCTAGGTCCTGGGGATATAGCCCCAGGCCTCCTTCAAGGAATTTGCATTCTAATGGGAGAAGGGAGAAGGCACAACATTTTAGGATGTCTTTTTTTTTTTTTTAAATTTTTGGTGAGGCAATCAGGGTTATGTGATTTGCCCAGGGTCACACAGCTACATAAGTATCAGGTATCTGAGGTCAGATTTGAACTCAGGTCCTCCTGACTCCAGGGCTGGTGCTCTATCCACTGCACCGCCTAGCTGCCCCATACAACATTTTATTTTATTTTTTTTTTTAACAAGTGTTTTTAAAACTTTGGGTTACAAATTTTCTCCCTTCCTCCCTCCCCACTCACCCTCATTGAAAAGGCAAGCATCTCGATACAGGCTATAGATGTGCAGTCATGCAAAACACTTCCACAGTAGTCCTGTTGTGAAAAACTGAGTATATTTCCCTTCATCCTATCCCACCCCCCATTTATTCTATTGTCTCTTTTGACCCTGTCCCTCCTCAGAAGTGTTTGCTTCTCATTATCCCCTCCCCCAATCTGCCCTCCCCTCTATCAACCCCCTGTTCTCTTGTCCCCTTCCCCCCTTATTTTCCTGTAGAGTAAGATAGATTTCCATACCCCATTGTCATACAACATTTTAAATAGATAAATAAATACAGAATAAATCCGAAGTAATGTTGTGGGCTGGAGCGGAGGGTACTAACCGTTAGAATCAAGAGGCAGCAGTTGAGCTGAGCCTTGAAGAAAGCTGGAGGTTCCCAGAGACTGGGCCAGAGAGTGGGGGTGGGGAGACAGGAGACGGGATGCTCATGGGCTGGATTGGCTGGGACGAAGAGTATGTGACATGAGCCTGGAGACACAGGTCGGAGGTAGGCTGTGAAGGACTTGAAGTCTGAGTTAGCCATTTGTCCTGTAAGCAGCGGGAAACCACTGATGCCTGTTGGGCAGGGGAGTAGCATTCTCAGACCTGGGTATGATAGGAATAGCACTTGGATGAGTGGGGGGGGGGATGGACTGGAAGAGAAAAAGCCTACAGGGAGCAGGGGGACCGGTCAGGAGGTTCCTGCAGTAGTTACCGATGAAAGGTGATGAGAGACTGAGTTAGGGTCATAGATTTAGAGCTGGAAGGGGCCCTGGAGGCTGAAAGCAGTTAAGTGACTTGCCCAGGGTCACTCTGGTACTAAGTAGATGGAGCAGGATTTGAACTGAGGTCTTCTGACTTCCAAGCTAGGCTAGGGCAGTGTCTGTGGAAGAGGAGAGAATGGAGCAGAGAGGCGAGAGATGTGGCAAAGGCAGATTTACCAAGACTTCGCAACTGATCAAATATGGGGGGGGGGGATTCACGGGAAAGGGATATTTGAGATTGTGAACTTGGGTGAGTAGAAAGACGCCCCTGATAGAAACAAGACAGTGAGGAGAAGGGATGGGTTCTACTGGATGTCTGGAGTGCCTGTGATGCTCATGGATAATGTAGGTGGGACGCCGGCGGGCAGCTGGTGATCAGGAGGGAGGAAGAGGCTGCCTACCTAAGGAGACTGGGCAGCCACCTGCATGGAGGGCGAGTGGTCCAGCCCCAGGCTTGATGCTCTGCCGCTAGATTTTATTAAACCAGCGGGGGAGGAATCCATGTTCAACAAGCATTTATGAAGCACCTTCTAGGTGCCGGACGGTTGTGTTGGGCACTGGCAGCACAAAGGCACACAAGAAACGTCACCTGCCCTCAGGAAGGCTGCCTTCTCCCAAGGGCTGGAAGCAGAGCCCAGGTGACTGGGGCCGCCATGTTTGCCATAGGCATTCCCCTTGGTGCTATGAATTCTGTGTGATTTGTTTACATCTTTAGAAGTAAGTTTTATGGATGCCTTTTGTTTCTAGGTCACAGTCATTGCTGTAACTATCCCCCCCACCCAATTCAGCGCTTCCTCCCTTGCTATAAAAAAGTTGAGCAGAGACCCCCCCAAAAATGTCCATAGCTGACGATGTCTGCCTCATTCTGCCCTGGTCGCCCCCCCACCCCTCTGCTGGGGTGGGCACTTTCATTGTCCCTTCTTGGTCTCAGTTGTTCATGTATTTGGCGCCTGGCTTCCTCCAGGGACCATACCTGTTCATTCTCGCCCACTTCAGCTCCTCGGCATCATTACCCCACCTGACAGGCCCTTCCCTTCTCCCAACATAAGCCTGTGCTTGTGTCCAGACTCTCTCTAGGCAATCTTTGCCTACGCCGGTCCAAAGAGCGACCCTATTTTGAAAGGCCTGGAACCCTTGCCGCTGGCTGCCCTGGGTTGTTGTCCAGCTGATCCTGGGCATCGGCCGGTCCTGTTACAAGCCCTCCGATCACCAGGGCTGGTTTTCTGCATCTCCTGTCCCTCCTCCCTAGCTCTAAGCTTAGTGCTGCGGGTGAGTGACAATCATTTAATAAATTACAGTGGATTTGACTTAGTGATACTGTAGATATCCATTGGACTTAATTTCCTCTTCTCAGGGTACAATCATTACATGTGCCTGAGCAGGAACACAAAGTATCCCATTCTGTTCTTGCCTGGAAGGGAAAAGAAATCATTATTTCTTCATTTAGAGACTGCCAGGTCACTGCACCCCAGGAATGCGTGGAAAGCCTTCCCAGGAGCCAGTCTGGGAAAGAACCTAGAGAAGGGCACTCCGGTACCGTTTGCACTCTGGTGCCTCCCCCAGGCATACAGAACCAGAACAGAGCCAGGGGCCTCCTCTCAAAGTGCTGCCACTGGAGACACTGGCCTAGCACCCCCCGAAGCAATGTCCACCTCTCAGGGGCACTCATTTTGTGGCTAAGGGTTGGTAGGTGCTTGGGGATCGGGGAGGGGCGGGATAGCCTGGCCACCTTACCCAGGACACCAGAATACTATGACCTTTTTATACTTAAGTGAAAGAAATGAACCGAGTAAATACGAAGTCACTCATTGATTTAAATTTCTGGGCCATGATTTTGAATGAAGAAGGCCTGTCCTGGAGCGATGCCCAGTGGGAAAAGGTGATCGGCATGGAACAGCAGCTAACAGCCTTGCTTGGAAACTGGGGACATAGCTCATGGTAGGAAGGTAACAGAGAGCTAAGGAGGCAAGGGCAGCTTGAACTGGGTGGAAGCCATCAGCTAATCCGAGGACAAAGAAGTAGAGCTGATTTGGATCAAGAATCTGGGGTCTTGTGTCTTGGACCTGTTGAGTGGCATCCTGGTGAAGACAGTGAAATCCTTCTCAGAAGAAGGTTTGGGAATTCCACAGAAATCAATTATATTTGAAATAAAGTTGTATCTTTCTCCATTCAAGTTCACAGAGATCTGAAAATGGACCCCCATTAAGACCCCTGATCTAGAGAGGAAAATCAAAAGGTGGGCACATGAAAGCCCTTGGAATGAAAATGGAGAACCCCAGCTAGTCTACCCCTTCCACAGGGGGCTGACTTTCAGCAAGAGCGGAGGGGTTAGCGTGCTAATGACAACTAAATGAACGTGGAAAGAATTCCATTGGTCTCATAGAGAGATGCCAATTGGGGAATCGTATAACAGCTGAAGAACATGGCACCCCAGCGTGGCAGCACCTACAACATCAGCCAACTGGACAATCCCGTATTTACAGGGTCAAAATCTGCATTTTTACAAAGTGATGCATCTCTTTATCCTCAGTATACCCCCCCCCACACACACACACTCCACTGTGATTTCATTTCATTTTAGTCAACATTTATTAAGCACCTACTGTGTACAAGGCCCTGGGCTAGGAGATGTGGATACAAAAACATCAAACATTCACAGCCTCTTTATTAGGAATATACTGAATTACCACCATTTACTTAGTAAACATCTGTTCTCTCCTTTTTGAAAAATTTGGTTGCTACTGAGTGTTGAACACCTCACCTCAAGATTTCCACAGTTAAAGGTATGAATCAGTGGCGAAGTTTCCTGGATTAATGCCCACACTTGAGTCAGACTCAGCTCTGGATGCCCCTTCTCTCAGGTCCCCTTCGGTCTCTGGTCCGGGCGTGGGCATAGGCCCACTCCTCACAGACACTTCCACCCTCTCCTCTTACCTCAGAGACTCAGCGGTGTCTCATCCTTCCAGTGGTGGACCAGCCAGATAGATCACCCTAGCCAGATGCTGGTAGGAGCTTTCTCTCCCCTCTCTCAGGGAGCTCAGTGCCTGGTGGCCAACTTCCTTTCTCCTCTCATTCCTGCCTTTCTATGTGCTGAGACCTCTGCAAAGCCGCTGGCAGCTCCCTTGCGCCAACCCCTAAGTCATCACTGCCTGCCCACAAGTGTTGTGTCCTGATTATCCAGAACACTGGCATTCCTCTGTCTGACCACAGCCCCCTCTCCCACCACTTCCATGTGCCATCCATGGCCACCTCGCCTTCCAGTCCCTCCATCCCTCCCTTGAGCCTCTCGACCATGTCATTAATCAGTTCGTCTAACCAGTTCATCATTACATTGGCCTGTACTTGTGAATCCCTTGCCCTTCTCTGCCTCTCTTTCCCATCCTCAGCCCTGAATTACTCTGACCATCAACTTCTCCTTACCGCTGCCAAACAGCCCTTGGAGGTAGTCACACAGCTGTGACTCCTGCCACCCCCCCCCACTCCTCCTGTCCTGCCCCAGGTCTCTTCCAAACCTCCTCAAGGGGCTTCATTCTCGGAAATTGCCTGAACTCATGCTCTTCTCCACAGTGCTGCACCTTATGTCACCTCAATGTCACCCCCATTATTTTCTTCTTTGCCCCAGCTTCAGAGCGTCCAGTGAGGCCAGCCTCTTCCCCGGTACACTTTATCCGACCCCTTCCTTGTTGGCCTTCAGCCACCACTGGCTCCTTCGTGCCCAGATCCCGCCCTGCCCCACTCCACCAACATCTGGGAACCCCCTCCCTTTCACAACCACACTCCACTTCTTTCCCTTCCCTTCACTTTTCAGTTGCTTTCAGTCTTTGAGCCAGGTCTGTTCTATCCTTCTTGCCTCTCTGTGACCTCCTGGTTTTCCTCTTACCCATCTAACCAGGCCTTTTCATTCCCCTTTGTAGGATCATAATCCATTTTCTGTCCCTTTAGTGGGGGTCCATCCCAGTACACACACTCTCTTTCTGTCTCTCTCTGTCTGTCTCTCTCTGTCTCTGTCTCTTTGCCTCTCTCTGACTCTCTCTGCTCTCTCCTTCTTTCCCTCCCTTCCTTTCTCTCCTCTCTCCTACTCTTACTTTCTCCTCCCCCTTTTCTCTCTTTCTCTGTCACCCTGTCTCTGTCTCTAATCTGTTTCATGGGATTAAATGATGTTCTTTATTGCAGATGACCCCCATGTCTACATCTTGAACCTTCATTTCTCTCCTGAGCTCCAGATCCACCTCACCAACCACACGGGTGACATTTCCACCTGAAGTCCTACAGGCATCTCTGACTCACCATATCCAAAGCAGAGTTCATCACCTTTGAATTGCTCGTTGTCAGCTTTGGTTTCCCATTGCACTCATTTCTGAGTACATCCGTCAGCGCCCTTTCTCCAGTCTCCTTTAACAAAGAATAACAAAGAAAGGAAAAAAGTGATTCTCCCAAACTAACCGACCCATCAGCTGAGTCTGACACTGGATACAGCGTCTCCTCCGTGGCGGTCCACCTCTGCAAAGGCAGGAGGCAGATGTATTTTCTCATCTCTTCTCTGGGGCCATGCTTGGAATTACAAAGAAGGACTCATTATCTTTGGCCCTAAACCCTCTCCTCCTGATTTATCCCATCCAGTCATCCATCCCTCTTCCCTCTCTCACCCGCCCCCACAAACAGTGGGTCACCAAGTCTTGTCAGTTCTTCTTTCCCAACATTTCTCCTCCTCCTCTAACGGTGCCCCCTTCCTGGTGCAGGCTTTCATCACCCCCTGCCTTGATTATCGCAGTGGCAGCTGGTAGATTGGCCTCCCTGGAGCCTCTCCCCACTCCGGTCCATCCTCCACTCAGCTGTCGATGACATTCCTAGAACGCAGGTCTGACCGCGCCACTCCCTTACACAGGAAGCTTCAATGGCTCCCAGGATAAAAAAATACAAACTGCTGTGTTTGGCATTCCAAGCCCTTCACTACTCAGCTCCAGCCTGTCCTTCCATACTGATGTTCTCCCTTACAAATACGACCCTGCACCCAAAAGCCTCCATGATATTCCCTCTTCATAACATTGCATCTTTGGCCTTTGCATGGATAGATCCCCAAGCCCGCCCGCCCTGCCCCAATCACGCCTGGAATGCTCTTCCTCCTCAATCCCTGGTTTCTTCTTGATTCCACCAGTAATTACTGCTTGTCCTTCCCCCTCCGAATTGCTTTATTTTGGATTTACTTAGTTGCATACATATTATTTTCTACCAATAGAATATAAGCTCTCTGAGGACAGAAACTGTTTCTTTTTTATCTTTGTGTGCCCAGCACCGAGTATAGTATCAGGTACACAATAGGTGCTTAATAAATGCTTGTTAAATTTACTTGAACATGTCACCTTGACTGACCTAGGAAAAGTCCACAATGATCAAATTATAGCGTGCTTGCAAAATGCTCTACTAGTATGGGTCGTATTAAAAGTACAAATCATTGGCAGAAAAATAATTGTTTTATTAACTTCCTTCAATTTCTTTGGTCTCCAGAGAAACACAAAAGAGGGTTTTTATTACCCTAGAACACAAAATGAATACAGAAATGTCCAGCACCTAGACTAGAGGTGTGAACAAAAGCATTTGATGGCATTAATTTGTGAATGCTTCCTTAAGAAGGGGAGCCATGAGTCACCCACTTGGCCACAACCCAATGAATTTCCAGTCCACTCCTTCCGTCACCGTGTTTTTAAATCACTCCCACTCTCCTTTTCTAAGATGAGATTTCATGATCAGACACCTACCAGAATTTTAATCGCTGGTGTTGTGAATTTCCATATTGGTTACCACAAAGAACACCAGAAGCTTAATGACTTCTCTCTTTTTTTTTTTTTAAAGGCTAACTATCTGAATACATTTTCTTTTTTAATCCTTGTAGAGTAACTCTTAGTTCATGGGACTCAAAGTCTAAAAAGCCATGTAACTGTACCAAGTCCCAGTGTCTGAAATTGTAAGTAATCAAAAATCCTTCATTATTAAATATGAAATAAGGTTGTTTAGAAATCAGTAAATGGAGAAAAGTCCAGACAATGCCAGGTTGGCAAGGAGTGTACATGTGGTGATGTTTGGCAGTGGGGCTGCTGTGCACCACGGGGCTTTGAATGTTCAGTGGGAACTGGAGACGCACTCGAGGTGTGAACACCTCTTTGACTTTGTCATTTGATGCATGGATGGAAACACCAGCGTGGCAGGGGAGGAACCTTCCTCTGCCCTTTGTTTTCATTTGCATTGAGCATTCACTAACCCCTCAGATACGTGGGACTGGATGTTAGCACATTGCTGAACATTAGCTATTAATACATCTCCACACACATCATCTGTTTTATGGAAACTTTGTGGCATGGTTTATTATAGGCACGGACCTTCTTAGAAAACTTGTGGACATTTTTGCCTTGCCCACCTAGGGCTGCCCCCTGTGGAGTCTGAGTAAGCAGAGGTAGGACAGTATGCCTACTTAGACACATAGATATTGACCAGAAGGAGAGAGAGAGAGAGTAGCTCTACACCATGCCTGCCCTGCCCTGCCCTGCCCCGCCCTGCCCTGCCCCGCCCTGCCCTGCCCCGTCCTGCCCTGTCCTATGCTCCCCTCAGCTCTTTCTATGGACAGCCTCCTGTCTTTAGCTTGGGACTGAAAGGCCCCAGTGGCTAGCAACCCTGACCATGTCTCTGCGTAATTTTTCCCTTGCAGAGCTCCTTGAGAAGTTAAAGGGAGTTACTTGGTGCAACAGTGGGGTGTGGGTCAGAGAGAGCAAGGGAACAAGGGGTGTTGGAGAGAGCTGACCATCTTTATTTTCCTGAATCCCAAGGCCCACAAGGCATTGTTAACTAAGCTTTTACTAGTTAAAATGAAACTAGCAACACGCCATGCTGGAATAGGGGACTGAAGATATGTAGCTATTTGGAGCCACTGATGACATGGCCTTTGTGGATGCAAGGCCTCTCCATTCGTGGAGGGAATGAAAAGTTTGGAGAGCACGTGAGAGTGAGGCAGATAAGGGAAAGTCAGCCAGTGACCCCTGGGCTGCTCCTTTGGAGAGAGGAAAGCACGGGAGGACAAAGTTGATCTGTTTAGGGAATCCAGGAGGGAAATCCAAGGGCAGTGGGATGCCCCATGTGGTTTTTTGGGCCTGGAGTCAGGGGAAAGCTTAATCACAGGGAAGACAGTAGGAGGGAATTCACCAGGGGCAGGGGGCAAAGGTGACCACTCCTAGGGACCTTCCTTCTCCTCTTCCTTTTTATTCTGTCCCTGACAAGCGAGTTCTTGCATAGGGCAGCCGCAGGTCTCCGCTTAGAACATATTTGCTCTACTCTGTAAGGAATCTCTGTTGAACATAGGTGGAGGCAAGAATGAGTACTATTAACTATCTCGTACTAAATGGGGATATTTTTAATTTATAAAAAATAGATTTGTGTGTTTTAAATAAATTGAATGCAAGTTTAATAAAATAACAGTTAAAACCTAAAGGAAAAAAAAATTGATGAAAGAATCATTCATTCCCAACACTCCATCAGGCCAGCAGCAAAATACAAGTTTTGTGGTATCGTTGGTTTGTGGTTTTCCAAGTTTTCAAATATCGACACTTCCAGATGGAAGGTGATGGTAGCATCTAACGTGAAATTCACTTTCAGAATAGGAAGCTAGCATTTTCATTCGGGCAACCGTGGCTTCATTGCAGTTCGGCAGACGTGTATTAAGCACCTGTGGTGTGCAGGGAAGTCTGCTTTGTGGAGAGACAAAACAAAGTGGTCCCTGCCTTCAAGGGTCTTACAGTCTACTGAGGAGAGAGCCCCAAAAAGAGTTGGCGTGAAATGTCTCCCAATCCTTTGAAACGTGAGCCTCTCAAAGAGTGAGGGGCATTGTGCTCTCAGGACAATCTTGAGATACATAGGACATTTGAGTGACATTTGTATTCATGGAGTTGACTAGTTGGGTATACATGTTGACTGCAGCATGGAAAAAAAAATCAATTCTGCAATGAAGCCACTTCATGGTAAATCTAGGCTGAATATAAACTTTTGTGATAACCCGTACCTGTCCCTTATCGGCGAGGATATGGGGGCTTTAGCCACTAGATTGCTATAGTATAGTTAGAATAGCCACATGTTACAGTCTGATATTTTTCCTGTTTTTGCCCCCAAATCAGGTATAACATCTTCCTCCATCTTCCCTGTTAAGAGATTGGGAAGTCTCCAATAGAATCTCTTTAGCCTTTTGATCCTGTTTCTGGGGTAATTTGGCATGGACTTGGGTGGACGCAGTTGCCTAGGTCTTGTCTGCCTTCCACTCCTAGTCAGGGATTTTCTCCAGAAGTGTACTGTAGTGTGAGAATGGGCATCTCCTTTAGGTCTTATCTAAAGCGGGGAGGAGTTCTGAACCATTGGGGGAGGGGTCCTGGACTCCATTGGCGGCAGTCTGGTGAGGCCCATGGACATCCCTTTTCTCAATAATGTTTTAAAGTGCACAAATCAAACATGCAAAATAACAAAGGAAATCAATTACAGCGAAACACAACTATCACAACCAGCAACAACAAGGTCACACTGAGCCCTGGCCTCAAGGGATTAGGACCATCCTGAATGGGACATGCACACACGCACACACACACACACACACACACACACACACACACACACACGGGTATTATTTCCCTTGTTTATTGCCAGACTAAATGTCAGCATTTTTAATAACAGAGAGTGTATGAAACATGAAAAAAGACCACAGAATTTAACAATATTCATTGTAACTAACAACTCCACTTCTTCCATAACAAACCTGGTGCTGCAGCTGGTCACATCAACCAAATAAACATGCTTGATTTCAGCCCTCTGGTTGGTTGGCAAGCAGGGAAACGGCCAAACGGGCAGCAGGAGAGGGAGGAGGAGAAATCAGAGGCGAGGAGGAGGCTGGACTGAGCACAAACTAGGGAGTCCCTGGAGATTTTACAAATCAGATTCTCCTTAGGTCTAAAGAGTCATCATACTCTGTGTTCCAGATGGACAAATGTTTATGGCAGGTACATTTATTTTTCTCTAAGGATTTCACGTAACTTGTCTAATAGAATTGGGGTGTTGGCGTGCTTACAGGCAAGAAGGAAAGGTTCTATGACAATCATATTCATTGACTATCCACTGCTTTATTTCATTTTTAAGAGGACAACCGGACAAAATGAATTTCCTTCTTTTTCCACAATACGTTTGTTATAGATAGATTTCTTTTTCTTTTTTTGTTTGATTTTTTGTTTTGTTTTGTTTTGTTTATTAGGCAATTGGGGTTAAGTGACTTGCCCAGGGTCACACAACTAGTAAGTGTCAAGCGTTTGGTCTGAGGTCAAATTTGAACTCAGGTCCTCCTGAGTTCGGGGCTGGCGTGCTATCCACTGCGTCACCTAGCTGCCCCTATAGATAGATTTCTTATGTGGAAAATCGGCCATAAGATTTAATAGTAAAGATAGTAAGATTTTATAGTAAAAAGGTAGCGAAAGAGAAGGGGGAAATTGAAAAGAATTCTCCAGCCTCTGTGGATTAATTACTTATCCTTTCTCTCCCTTACCTCTCCATTTGACTCCCCTTTGGATTGGAGGGAGATACTATGTCAGGTGGTGCTGAACTGGCCTGGGGTGGGAAAGTCTTCTTCCCCTTCATCTGTAGACTGAGGAGGTTGGACGAGATGGCCTCCAAGGGCTCCCAAGACCCCCCAGCTCTGGGTCGAGGAGCCCATTAGTGGAGTCCTTCGAATCTGCTATGTTTTAGAGACAGATGGAAACTAATAAGCCTGTAGCAGAGAAGAGGGTGTGGCCATGGCCACTGTCAGTCTGTTTTAGTAATCGCTTGCAGAAAGGCATAGGTGGCCTTACAAATTTGTAGATGATGTAGAATTAAGAGGGAGATCTAATGGATCTGGATGACAGGGTGGAGATCGAGAAAGACTGGTACATAGTAGGTGCTTAATCTAACATGTTTGTTGTCTGACTGACTGGTACGGGCAGGAAGTGTTAATGGAATTCAGGCCAAGCAAGATTCTATGTTACATGTTCTGTCACAAGTCATAGCATAACACACGACCGTCTTATTATGGTACCATTCACTCCGAGCGAAGATGCTGTGAGCTGTGCTTGGCCTCATCTCTCATAATATCCTTCTGGACAGGTTGGGGGAGAGAGGGGCCAGACCACAGAGATGGGAAAGTGGGGATTGCTTTCTGGGGAATGTTTGGCCCCTGAAGGCCCTTCCACTTTGGCTGGAAGTAAGGCTAGGGCTCCTCACAACTAGAGCTGCCCCACAGTGGCACAGGCCCAAAGGGTGGGGGACGGGAACCCCCTCAAAGGAGGGCTTTGAGCAGAGGCTGGACACCGTCATCAGGGCTATTATTGTCCAGGGGATAATGAGTTGGGCTAGAGGAGACTCCTTCCCATGCTGAGATTCTGTGATTCTTAAATCAATATGAAATAAGTATTCAGTCATCCAAACTACCAGAACTCATTAAGCGCCTACTGTGTGCCAGGCACTAACAGCCCCTGCCTTCCAGAACTGTACAGTTTTGGGGGGGGGGATAGAAAATGTTCATAGACTGGGAAAGAAAGGTACATGCAGAATAAATACAGGGTGATGGGGCCAGGGTCAGGAAGGCCTTTGGTGGGAAGTGACTCTGGAGCCTTAAAAAAGAGATAGAGGTGAGGAGAGAAAACATGCCAGACCTGGGCAAGAGCTTAGCAAAGGCATGGACGGGGAAGATGGCCAGTGGTACATGATGAGGAGTGGATGAGCATGGCTGCCTGACGGGGAGCCTGGAAAGAGAAACTGAAGCCGCGCTGTGGGGCGGGGGGCTTATGCTTTATCCAAAGACAGTGGGGAGCCCCGGAGGCTCCAGAGGAGCCGGGATGTGGCATGATCAGACCTGTGCTTTAGGAACATCTGTTTGGCAGCTCGCTAGGTGGAGACTGCATTGAAGAGATAGGGAGCCCAGCGAGGAGGCTTGTACCCTAACTGGACTGAACCAGGGAACAGGGGAAGGGAATTGAGTATTCCATGAACCGGTAATTTGTCTCTGATTAGATAGAAGAGGTGAGAGAGAGAGCGGGAGTTAAGATCTCTGCACAGCTGGGAACCCGGGGGCTACGTCTTAGCACGGTATCTGTACAGAACATTATACAGCCATCATCTCACTGGATCCTCGTAACCCTTGGAGATAATGCAATGTGGTTTTAAGTTTACAGTTTGAGAAACTGATGTCACAAAGGGAATTGTGGTCGAACTGGGGCCAAGAGCCCAAGTCCAATGCTCTTCTCATTAAATCATGCCCTCAGAACAGGAAGTGACCCTGTCATGAAAGTTATGGGTCTTCTGGGTCCTCTCTGTCTTCACCCTGTGCTCCTGGGGATTCTATGGTTCCCTAAAGCCTTCCTTGGGTCAGAGGTGATAGAGTGTGTGTGTATTTGTGTGTGTGTGTATGTGTGTGTGTGCACGTGTGTGTGAGAAAGAGAAAGAGAGAGAGAGAGAGAGAGAGAAGAAAAAAGATGAGGAGAAGGATGAGGGAAAGGGAAGGGAGGGATGGGGGGTATCCCTGCAGTGTGGCTGCACCAAACCACTTAGTGGGTAAGGAAAGAATTCTCCTTCATGCCCATTCTGAAACGTTGTGGTTTTGGGGCCACAGGATCTCTGGGCCTCCAAGCCCAGTACCAGGGCTAGTGCCTTTGGGGGAGCGTGCTAAAGAGCCAGCTATGATGCTCTCATCTGTCTGAGAGGGGCATTCAGGAAAGTCCTTGGGCCTCCCACCTGCCCCAAGGGAATCCTCTCTCTGACCCATGTAGAATCACAGGGGCAGAATGACCATTCTTAAGTTGGCATTCTGCTAATATGTGTATCGTTTGGCATGTAGAAAGCTAAATTAAGTATGATAGAAATGCTGTCACTCATTTCTTTCATAACTCTCTCCTCTGTGATTGACATAGAGGAGAGTTTAGTGACATAATTGACCTACCTCTTCATGGACTCATAGCAGATGAATTAGCTTTCAGCTCAGAAGATGGCGAGGTGAGAATCATGATGGGAAGGGGGCTGGCAGGTTACCTGTTAGATGGCCCTTTTCCCCAGTGGGCCCATGCTTGTAGCCACTGAAGGGACTCCCCCCAGTGGGTGGTGTAGTAGCCTGGGACATTTGGGAAGGGCATTGACTGGTGAATAGAGCGAGCACAGTGAGATGGTGGTTCTATTGGAAACGAAGCAAGTGTTACCTCAACAGGAAAAAATACATGAGAGAGATTTCAGTTTTTCATTCCATCAGTAGGCAGCTGCAGATAAGAGATCGGGCCTTGGCATCAGCCTGGACCCTCACCCGGAATCCTGTCCCACCCCTGACCCATGCTGGCTGTGAGGTGCTAGGGAAAGTGCTTCCCCAGGCCCCAGCTAGCTCCCAAAGCCGAGGTCCATCTGCACCGGTAGTGCTATTGCTGGGTGTTCCCTACCCTGATGAAATCCCGAGTCCGGCCTCCCAAAGAGGCCCTCCCCGGTGTCCCTGGCACGTGGTCGTTGCATCCCTGGCAGTGTTCAGTGCTGATGGATGCCCGGCCACACCTTAGCTCGGGTGGTAAAGGCGGCGAGGGCCCACGGCTCTTGCCGACAGCCCTCCGCTGCAGCCTGGGTGTTGATGGGTGAGAATCCCCTCCCGGCTCCTGGAGGTCCCGTGCTCGGTTTGGCGCACCCATCTTCACCTCCGCTTTCTTTTCAGATACTGCGATTGCTTTGCCAACGGCGACTTTTGCAGCAACTGTAACTGCAATAATTGTTACAACAATTTACGCCACGAAATCGAGCGGTTTAAGGCCATTAAGGTAAAGAGCACCCAGGCGTGCGAGCCTTAGGGAATGCATGGGGCTCCTGGGCGAGGCTGTGGCGGACCCGCGCAGCGAGAGGCTTCCTGGGCAGAGACACAGCGGGGACTGTGCCCCTGCGCTAGAGGTGCGAGAGGGCACTTCCATGAGGGGTGGGTGCCCTCCCCTCTCCCGGATAGCCTGGAAATTCGGATGCAGGCTTCGAAACAGTGGCAAAGGAGAAGGGGGGAAGAGATCAGGTTAGGCTTAGAGCCACCTACGGGCCCTAGTGGATGGAGAGCTAGACTGGAGAATCAAGACGACCGGAGTTCAAATCCTGCGCCGGACATGAAGGAGCTTTGTGACCCTGGGTGAGCCATTTAGCTCTAAGCCTCAGTTTCCTTATCTGTAAAACGAGCACCTACTTCCTAGGGTGGTTGTGAGGATCAAATCAGGCGATATAGAGCTTTGCACACCTTACAAGCCTTATGTAGATGCTATTTGAGTTGTTAGGTGGCCCCGTGGATAGAGCGCAGGACCTGGAGTCAGGAAGACTCATCTTCCTGAGTTCAAATCTGGCCTCAAACACTTACTAGCTGTGTGACCCTGGGCAAGTCACTTCACCCTGTTTGCCTTAGTTTCCTCATCTGTAAAATGAGCTGGAGAAGGAAATGGCAAACCCCTCCAATATCTCTGCCAAGAAAACCCCAGATGGGGTCATGAAGAGTGGAACATGATTGAAAACGACTGAACAGAGATGCTATTAGCATCATCATCATCATTCTCCAGAGGGTGTTTATGTAAGTGGTGTTCATCTGTAGAATTCGGGGCCCCCTCCTAACCTTGGGTCCTTGGTCTCCCACATCTATAGCAAAGGAGAAAGGTCACAGCCCTGGAAACCCAATGGCAGCATCACTGTTGGCAGAGCACTTAACTCCCCATAGCCCTGTGCCGTAGGGAGGGCAGTTATGAGGAGCCCTGGGTTCGCTGAGACTCAGAGAGGAAAGCTATTTGATGGTAGAGCAAATCAGGAGCCCGTTATATTTCCACCTAGCTTCTGAAAATAAAGTTCTCGGTATGTGAAAAAGAAAATGACACGTGTTAACATGATTGTTACAATCCATTTCAACTAATTGAATTGCCCATTTGGAATGTGGAGGAAGCAGTCCTTGATGTGGCTGAAAATCTCATCCAAATTCTGCCGTGACTGGATAGCCAGAGAGAGCCAGATAACAGATTTCCCCATCATAGTGTATACTTCAACCATCAGGGCAATTTCTTTTTCTTTTTCTTTTTTTTTTTAAGCAATTGGGGTGAAGTGACTTGCTCAGGGTCACAGGGCTAGTAAGTGTCAAGTGTTTGGTCTGAGGCCAGATTTGAACTCAGGTCCTCCTGACTTCAGGGCGGGTGCTCTATCCACTGCGCCACCTAGCTGCCCCTTAGGGCAATTTCTTAAAGGAAAAAGCACTCTGTAAATTTAACAGTACAAAAATCACTTTTTATAAATATAGCTGCAAAGGAAACTTGAAATAAAGGTAAATTTTTAAAACTGAATAAAAAGATAAAGTAATGTGCTGTTATAGTTACCAGGGTTATTTGCTAACTGCTAAAGATGTGTTGCAGATATGGAAACATGGGTAAGGATGTGTGTACACATATGCATTAGTGTATATATATGTGTATGTATGTCTGTCTGTATGTGTATATATATATATATATATATATATATATATATATATATATATATATAGTCCTGAAATGTATTATTTAGTAATGCACACCAAAACTTTGGGGGAATTCTTATCTGCCTCTTCCTTCTCTTTCAGGCCTGTCTTGATAGAAATCCAGAAGCCTTCCAACCCAAGATTGGGAAAGGAAAACTGGGGGATATTAAGCCTCGCCATAACAAAGGGTGTAACTGCAAGAGGTCAGGCTGTCTTAAGAATTACTGTGAGTGCTATGAGGTGAGTCATTAGTATCTCCTGCCTTTTCCAAAAACCTTCACTTTTTCTGACTCAGGTAACTCGGTTCACAAAAAATGTTTGCCCTATTTTTAAAAAGAAAACTAACTTATTTTTGACTACAGTTTTTGAAAGGCTACCAGATTATATTTGTTTCTCAAAAGTAATTTGCATTTTTGGAAGCCAGTCAACAAACACTGTTACAGCTACTGCTAAGTAAGGTGTCTCCTAGGTGCTGAGGATACAGAGAAAGGCAAAAGGAAGATGCTGTGCCCTGGAAGGCTTGTATGTCTAATGATAGCTAACACGTACACAGTGCTCTTAAGATTTTCAGTGTTAAGTCATTTGAGCCTCACAACATTCAGGTGAGGGAGGTGCTATTAGTGTAGGAAATGGAAGCTGAGAGAGGACAAATGACTAGTCCAGGATCACACGACTAGTAAGTGTCTGAGGTAAGATTTGAATTCAGGTCCTCCTGATCCCAGGTCCCCCACTCTGTCCATCACACTACCTGGCTGCCTTCAGTAGTCTGTCTCTCACTCACTAGACAGCCCACATGTTGGTTTCTGAAGGATGCCCAGAGACAGCAGTGCAGAGGCGGAGGATCCCGAGAGACCCCTGGGTACCTCCAGCAGTATAAGAATGATGAACAGGTGGGGCCTCCGCCCCGCCGCTGCAACGCTACTTCTGGGCCTGGTGTTCAGATCTATGTGCCACGAGTATACCGCTAGTCTTAGTTGGAGCCCTCTCTGTCTGTTGGAGGCTGCGGGGATCTGGATTTGCTGGTTTTTTGTAGATTCCAAGGACCTGAGTTACTTTGAGGAGTACCGAGAGGTCCTGGTTCCTTCAGAAACCAAAGAGTGGCCCCTGTGAATTCCCCAGACCTTCTCTAGGGCTATTGTACAATGAAAGAAGACCTCTGCAGGGAAAGTATGTTAACAGAGATTATTATGTTAATGTTAATTAATGTTAGTATGTAAAAAGAGATTTCCTTGGTCTGCTGTCATTCAAATATCTGCGCTTAGAGGCGACCCCCAAAGTCCCCTCAGGACCTGCTTCGGTGCCCCTGGCATGGCATGGTGCTTTGGTTGCACTTAGCTCTTATTTTTGTCGTTGTCTGGTTGGTTTTTGGCAATGGGGTTAAGTGACTTGCCCAGGGTCACACAGCTAGTAAGTGTTAAGTGTCTGAGGCCGAATTTGAACTCAGATCCTCCTGAATCCAGGGCCGGTGCGCTGTCCGCTGCACCACCTAGGTGCCTCCCACGTAGTTCTTACTTAACATATTGTCACCCATTGAAAGATTACAGGTGACTGGTACCACCATGCCTCCCTCCTCCAAGATGAGAAGGTACCAGGGGGTTTCTTCATAGGCAGGTGAGGACCAAGCTGTGGGGTGTGGGCTTTACTGGCAGAGAGTAGAGCAGGGGATCCCCAGTCTTCTAGTTTCTTCCCTCTTCCTCCTCTCTGTCTTCTATCACGTGCCATGTCAGACGTGGAAATACGGAGAAAGAGGAAACCTCTCCAACGAGGAACCTTCACCTAAAGGAGATGTCTTTCTCTACGTGGGGTCTTCTGCAGGGAGGGGAGACCTGTGAACATTGTGCAGCCTTCCTAACAAAACTGGACCCCAGGGTGGTGAGATTATCTGTTGGGGACCAGAGCTACAGGAGAAAGTTCAAGGATGCACCAGCCTTTGAGAGGCTAAGGATGAAGGGCACTGCTCCAGCAGACACCATCCTAGCAATGCTGGCTCTCGTTCTTGGGGTCCCCAATGCTGGCCATCAAACATGTGTCTCTCACTGTGCTGGATTCTGATCCAAAGTTTTAAAGTGATCATGCATAGGAAAGCCTTCTGTTTGATGTCTATTTGACTTTATCAACAGTCAGCATTGTCATTATCCATGCCTAATTAGTCTCTACCTTTCTCTTATAAAGGTAAAATTAATTTCATTTATAACTATTTATAAACAAATTTATGTATAAGGTGGAATTTGGCTCTGGGATTGCGGGCCAGTTATTGGCGTCTCATGAAAAATGACATTGGCCGTATCTCCTTGGTTCCTAGGCAGAGAACAGAGCAGGAACCTTTGACAGTTCTGCCGAGAGCCCACTTTGCAGGGGCCACTGCACCTCCCTCGTGTGCTGGGATTTCTAGAAGGGGGGCAAACAACCCCTTCTCTCACTTTGCTCGGGGCGTGGCTAATTTGCTGATGCAAACACATACATAAAAACACCAAAATGTGCAAATGCACGCACACCCAGTCACCCCCGGTCACTTTACTGTCGGGAGCTGCATCTTGACCCCGTTACTTTAGGGCTCCGGAGAATGAAAAGGGGCATCTTCTCACAAAAAGGAAAACACGATTCTACTCTGCTGCTCCCTCCCCTTTTTGCCTCTCTCTGGTCCACTCCTCATCTTCTGCCTTTTTTATGTAGAAACTGGCAGATTTTCTGTGGAACTGGAAGAAATTCTCTTCATTGATCACTTCTCTTTTTGCACACTTTCCCCAACCAATTAAGATTCAAAATGGGGTTGGTCAGTTTTAAATAAGGTTTGTTGAAATTTGGGGGGAGCAGGGGACAGGCTCTCTCTACATTTTTAAAGCACTTATTAAGTGTTTCTGCAATTGAATTTTTTTAATCAAAGCATTTATGTTTCCAGGCCAAAATTATGTGTTCTTCTATTTGCAAATGTATCGGTTGCAAAAATTACGAAGAAAGCCCTGAACGAAAAACCCTCCTGAACATGCCCAACTTTGTGGAGATTGGAGGGTCTGAAGGCAGCCATCTTTTTTCGCCATCCAAATTTGCAGTGTTGCCGAAGTCGAGGAAGGACAGGTAGGTGGCTTTACATTGTAGGGGAATTGTAAAGAGAAAACAAAAATAAAACTTGGAGGGAAGGTAAGAAGAAATCTAGACCTGGCAATATGTGTTTACGCATGTTACTGATGGTGGCCAAAAGCAGAGCTCAGGGCAACTATTTGTTTGGAGACAATGAGGGTGAAGTGACTTGCCCAGGGTCACACAGCTCATAAGTGTTATGTGTCTGAGGGCGGATGTGAACTCAGGTCCTCCTGACTCCAGTGCTGGTGCTCTATCCACTGGGCCACCAGGCTGCTCCTCAGGGCATCGGCTTTGACTGAGGTTCTAGTGGATTGGAAGTTTAACAGTAGAACACAGCAGCCCCCCAAAAACTGAATTTGGTCTTGGGCTGCAAACTGTTCAAGACCAAGGCGGCCAGTCCTCTGCCCTGCTCAGACCGTTTCTGGAGTGCTGTAGTTCTGGGGCCACAAAGGACATTTGAAGAAGATGGCGCAAAGGAGGCAGCTGGGACTAGGGAAGGGCCAGGAGGGGTGTCAGAGGAGGATCAGCTGGGGGCACCGGAGGGTTTGGCTGAGAAGGCTCTGAGGGACTTGAGAGAATCCACCCACAGCGGAACAGGAGCCTCCTCAGCCACCACCCTCCCAGCCCTGCCCGAAGGCTTTGGGTGAGGCCTGGGGGGGCACAGCGGCGCTCCACTTGGGCTTAGCGCTCATGGAAAGGAAGTTTTATTTCAGGCCCAAACGTGCCTTTCTCGTTCCCAGCTATGTCCTCTGGGTGCAGGCAGATCGTGTCTAGTTTCTGTTCCCTGTGGCAGCCTCTGCCGTGCCACCCTGAGCCTTCTCTTCTCCTCAGAAGTGTCCCCAGATCCCTCAGCTGATGGTTCCCTGGAATGCCCGGTCTTGTGCCCCACACTCGGGTTGCCCTCTGCTGAATGCTCTCCTGCTCGGCACCGTCCTTTTAAGAATGTGGTGCCCAGAACACGGCAGAGCTTTTGTCTTGGCAGATTCAGCTCAATGCAACGCGTGTTTCTTGAGTACCTACTATGTGCCAGGCACCCTGCGCCATGCCGACACAAAACTGAAGCGGTCCCTGCCCTCAGGGAGCCGATGTTCTGCTGACTTAGAGGTGACAGAGGTTCTGTGCAGAGCTGCAACGTTTTCTCTGCACAAGTTTACCCAAACCCAGCAGTAAAAGGCACCTTCACACGCCCACAGTCTCTGATGAATGGGGGTCCCATTATGCTTTTCTTGAGGGCAGCTCCCTCCTGCCCCGTTAGCCACGTTTGCAGATTTTTGTTTCATTTTTCTGTTTCTCCGAGTTAATACGATGTTTGGCTGCTGTCACCATAGTCTGCCACTTTAACTTTCTCAGAAAACATTCATGTAGATTTTTTGCTTCATCTTTTGCTGGATGCAGGAGTTGTTTTAAAACCATCCCTTAGCTCAGGAAAAATTCACCCATGGCTGAATAGAAATAATAATAATAATAATAATAATATAGCTATATTATACATGATATATTATGTATAATAGCTATATTATATAATACCTATTATAAAAATAATAGTTAACATTTATATAGCACCTACTATGGGCCAGCAATTGTGCTAAGTGCTTTACAACAATTAACTCATGTGAACCTCACAACAACCCCATGAGGTAGGTGCTGTTATTATCCCCATGTACAGATGAGATAACTGAGGCAGGTAGAGGTTCAGTGACTTGCCCAGAGTCATACATGTAGTAAGTATCTGAGTCTGGATTTGAGCTCAAGTCTTCTTGAGTCCAGGCCCAGCTGTTTATCCACTGGGGCACCTAACCTACAGAGTGTTGTGTCCTTAGTCTCACCATACAAGTCTGTGTGTGGAAGCAAGAGTAGCCATGAGGAAACTCCCTTGATAGACTCCTCCTCCCTCTCCCTGACCCCCACCCCAACCAAAATGTGGAGGGCTTTAGGCTCTCTGGGCCTCCTCAACGCCTCCACTTTGTGATTCAGAATGTCCTTGGGGCTTGACAGGGGGCATGCATGGCACGGGGGTGTCCCAGTAGCTGGTTGCTACTCATTCCAGGCACTCTCTGTGGCGTGGGGTTGGGTGACCCTGGGCGGGTCTGCTGTCTGGGGGCCAGCTGAGCTCAGTGGGGGGCTTCCTGCATCTCAGGGAGACTGCCACGTAGAAGGGGGCACGCAGCTGTGGTGGCAGAGTAATGGCAGCAGAATGGCCGATGTTTTATCTTACGGAGGCTCTTAGCTCTGGTGTAGACATTCGTAGAGACCTCAGGTCAAAGGGGACTACTCTGGTTGTACCAACCTTTCTCTGCAATAGGTCCTTATTAAACAATAGAGATGCATTTGGCCCCAGGGAATTTTGATGTCTCTGGCTCTCAAAGTGTTTTGCTTGATAATTATGCCAACGATGCTTAAACCTGCCAGGGTCAGGGTCGGGAAGCCCAAAGATTTGTCCTCGGTAGTGAGATTCTTCATGGGGTCTCACTCGTCAGTACGATGCTGGCTCAGGAGACCCACATGGCTCACTTGACACATGACAGTTGGTGAGACTCAGGGATCCAAACTTTTCGTTGCACATAAATGGGGTTTTGGAAGCGCCAGCCCTTAAAATGTGGCTCTTGTAACTCTTTGTTTCCGACAGGCCACCTTATACGTGCATCTCCTGGGAAGTGGTGGAAGCCACGTGCGCCTGCCTGCTGGCCCAAGGGGAGGAGGCCGAGAAGGAGCATTACTCAGCGTGCTTGGCAGAGCAGATGATCCTGGAGGAGTTTGGGAGGTGTTTATCCCAGATTCTTCACACAGAATTCAAATCCAAAGGGTTGAAAGTGGAGTAGACTGGGGCGTCCTATCGAATGCGTGCGGAGGTCTCTCCCCTGACAATGTTCGGAATGGAATCAATGTCTTGGTATTTGTAGGAAATGTGCTGGCAAGGTCTAGTTCAGATGGTCCCCATGGAGCCCTCTGCACCCATGAATGTAGGAAATCTATTCACTGAGTCTCTGGAGGACAGAGCAGCAGCTAAACATCTCTTCAACAAATGTCTCCATAATGCCTTATGTGGGGGAGGGGAGTTGTGGATTCCTGTAATCTATAATAGCCCTTTGGATTGGGAAATCACCCGTTAGAAGCCCGGCAAGTAGAGGGATGGCCTTGAGTGGGGGGGGGGGACCAACGTTGGCTCCCGTTCTCTCAATCTCACCCTCTCCAGAGAATTCCCTTATAGACAGATGCTGCCCTGTCTTGACAACCTTAGGTAATGGTCTTCTCTTTGGAAATTCTTTGGAAGTGCATTTCCCACCTGGGCAGTTATGCTACTGCTACAATTGCTGAAGAAATGTCAGAATTGTTGAATCCCCTGAGAATGTCGAGAGTGTAGGTGGTCCCCTGGAGTCACCTAATTAGCTGATTCATTCTAAGGATTTAAAAAAAAACCAGTGTATGTAGTAGCAGCTGTAGGCTGTGGCCCTTGGGGGGTTTCTCTTGAATTGTGGAGAGGACCCCTTCTCCAATGAACCTCTACATTGTTAGTGCTGCAAGTTATTATTACTACTATTGTTTATAAAATCTAGATAAAAAAGGTGGCCCCACATTGACATGCAGACAGGTTTGATTAGCACTGGGTCTCCTAACATCCGCAAGTGTTGGAAAGGTCTCAAACATCCCCACATGCATGGGAACCACTCCCCTCTGTCAGTTAGCGGTGCTTAGTGATAGCAGCTGCTCCTAGAATGGTTTGTTTGCCCAATAAAGTGATGGAGTGTTGGGGAGAGTCTGGTTAAGTGAGTGATGTTCAAAATATGCTATTCCTATGGACACAGAAGCAGATGAACTGGTCATTACAGGAAAAGCTGGCTCTTTGTTCCACAGCATGTCTTAACCTTCCATCAGAGAGAAGAGGAAAGCTTAGTCCCTGTGGAGAGACTACTTAAAGGGAGACAGGGAACACTTAGTCCTTTCCCTACTCCGTTCCCCACATAGTCTTTGAGGGACTGGAGCCTTTAGGAGAAAGCCAGAAGGCAGGTGAGGGGAGGAGGGTGAGCCCAAATGAGCAGGCCCTCCACACCTGAGCCTTCTGGGCTCCCTATGAACCCTGATAAGGGGGGAGGGGCCCAGGTACATCCTCTGCATTTACTGCCTGAAGAAAAGGGCCACCTTGAAAGAGCAGTGTAGGGCCATGTGTGGCAAGATGGTGGGGAAGAGAAGGACACAGCTCTCTGAAGGAAGTCTTTAGCCCAACAGAAATCCATTGCAACCTTGGCTGCAGAGTCCTCTAAACTCCATGGCCAGGGAGGAAGGGGAGGAACCTTGAAGGCCAGGCCAGGCTAGGTGAGGTCAGGTCCTAAGGATTCCTCCAGGCATGTGCCCCCCAGGGTGGGGTTTTCTTAAAGCACACTTAGGGACTGCATTCCCTGCACACAGCTGAGCTTTAGGCAGGGAGTGGTGGTTGTGATGCCAGCGGCAGCCAGGAGCCCCTCAGTCAAAGCTAGAAAATCTGAGAATGCCTAAGTGCCAGCTGTCTTCCTCTACCTCAGAGAGGGCACCCTCCTACCAGACCTCTCCAGAAAGAGAAAACCTAGCTGAATCAATACGGGGCAAGAGCCAGTCATGTACCACCTTATTTTAAAATTAAATCTGAGATTAAAATTTCTTTAAGTACAAGTGTAACACTACAGTAATGACTGAAGTTAATATCTAGCATGACCACAAACTATACAATTACACTTCTTTTTATTTTCAATGGGGAAAACTGACAGTTGGTATTTAAAACTATAAAAATATCATGCCCTTATATCATGCTGTGGTCAGGCATCTTTCTCACTAGCCATCAAAAAACACGGATGTTATAAACCCATGACCTGGGATTGTGAAGAAGCCAGGACCCCCCATTTTAGAAGCAGCACAGTCCAGCCAGCCTTTCCAGAACTGGGCAGGGCTTTAGAAAGCACTGAGATGAACGCTGAAAAGTTTCTCCTCCATCCCTCCCTTTTTGGGCAAACATCTCACTCATTACTGGAAGCTTGGAGCGGAAGGCAGAAAGCGATTGAGACTGGCCAACTTTGGTGGCTCTGTCCTGTTTGGCCTTGGCGCCACTTGCCCTTTAGTTCTTCTGTGGAATGGGCTGCTATGAGTATGGGTGATGGAAGCAAGTATATCTGGGTATGAGGTTTGGAGTCCAGGGCCATCTCTCCCCATATACATTCTTGCTTGCTTATCTCTGCATCTGGTTTTACTGAACCAGATGACTCCTGATATCTTAGTCCTAAAGGAGAAAGAGCTGAGGAGGGTCCATAACCACCAGCACTGCCTGCTCCCTGGGAAGGCTCCCTGCTGACTCTTTGGAGGCGCACTCCTCCTCCTCTCTTCGGGTAGGATTGGGTCCATGCAAAGCCCCAAGTGCAAACCTTGCTGCCTTTCCTTGCATTTCTCTGTAAAGGAAATAATGAGGCTTAATCCACTCCAGTTTCTGGCCTGCCCATTGGCCACTGGGCCTGTGTACAAAGAGTGAAGCAGGGGCAGGTGGGAGGGGTGAGGATGGGCAGAGCAGTGCTGCTGTGCTCCGGGTACCCTGGGCTAGCATGTCTGCGTGGATATTTCTCGCTGATATTTTCCTCTTTGATGGACCATAGCAGAGGGTCAGAGCTGGCCAAGTCATCCCCAGGCTCATGGTCTGGGGAGAAGGGGTTTCTTTTTCTCTTTGGGACAGAGGCCAGTGTGGTTTGCTTTCATGCAAAAGAGAAATTGAGGTAGTTGTCTAAATTGAGAAGATTGTCCATCCTCCTAGTCACAGCTGTACTGGCCACTGTTATCCTTCTAACCTCAAGAGCCCTTTCTTCTTCTTAGTATTGGTTTAACCATTTAGCTGCCATTATTTACTAACTTGGTAGAAGTATCAATTCACTGATAGCTAATTGAAATGTTTTTTTTTCTTTAATTCTTGTTATTCTTGGATACATTTATTATTTTTAATAAACAAAATTATTAGCTGGGCAATCCCTTAATATAACAAAGTAAAACAAGACAGTTTACTTTCATAGATAGTGCATCAGTTGCTATTATAAATTACCTAGGATTGAATGCTCAAGTGTTCTTGATTTGGGCAGTATTTAACACCTGGTAGGCCTGTAGTCTACACTTTAGACTTAACTATGACTCAAATTATTTATTGCTAGAGATATTGGTATTTTAATTTAGAAAATAAATGCTTATTTTATAATTTTAAGTATTTGTTTTTATTATCAAATATTAAATATTTTAATCCTCTTATTAAACATTTCTACTAGGCTGTGGGGTTAATTAGTTTGATTTTTGGCAAGTTCTTATTTAGGTTTGTGTGGAATCAAAAGCCCTTGGGAGTGGGCATCTCTTCAGGCCCATCCACTGGGCCCCAACAAGCCCTGTCACTGTTTGAAAGCTTCTTTTTCTTCTAGCTTCTAACCCGTTGGACAGATGTTGGGTATTGCCAAGGTCCTCTTCCTTTTCTTCCCTTTGTTATCTGAAGAACATTTTGTAAACTATTTGATGTCATATTTCCAAGACTGAAATCCCTTTTGTATTTCCAGTTGCTCCTAAAAGCACAGAAAGGCACCAAACACGGTAAAAAAAAAAACCCAAAAAAACAAACAACACACACCTGATTTTGAGATAAAAGGAGCTCGTGTCATCTGCCCTGTGTCCCACTAGAAACATTTATATTGGGCATACATAGTGATCGGATCTTGTTATTTTCTCAAAGTTTTTTGCTCTAGTTATTATTTAGATATTTATTTGCAGCCTTAGGAGGAGATTCTGCTAAGGGTCCAATCCTTTACAGAAGCACATAGGTAGCAGCCCTCTGGAGGAGGGTCACAAATGCATTTACCTAAGAGACGCTTATTTTATTCCAGTTGTAACCAAAGGCAGTGATGGGGTGTATTCCAGACTATGTCTAATGAGTTGTCTCTAGTAAAACATGTTCAGTTACTAACCACATTCAAACGAACCAGACATTCCTCCCATGTAGACAGCTGCTCTCAAATCCTTTTCCTACTCTTGTGTAATTTCCACAGCACGCTCTATATACAGGTGCTAATTCGGCATTAAATAATAACCCTGAGGGAAGTTAAATGTCTCTCTAAGATATCGTAAGCTAGACCATAAGTCACTCTCACCTAGGATAACTGATTGTGCTGAAATTCTCTTATTTAACCTGGAATAAAAAACGTTTATGATATTAACCTTACTAAATAATAGAGTTATACTTTGGGCTCACAAATCTTTACATCATTGGCTAATTATTCCCATGCCACCATGAGAAATTAAAGGACCTTATCTTATACAGGAACGTATAACAAGTAACAGGCAGATGACAAGGTGAAATGATCATTTACTTAGTTGTTTAGGATATAGAAAGGACTATAAATCTAGGCTGAATAGCTCAGATCTTACAACCTGAATCTTATTATAGTACTTCAGATATGGTCTGGTATTGGCCTATTAAACATTCAATATTGTGTCCATCTCTTCTACCTGCCCTGATTATAGAAATTCGCCATGAAAGAAAAATAGGGACATAGCTATAGTAAGGGGAAAATATACCCCTAACTCGATGTCATTTTCAGACTAGAATCATATGGACAGCCAATTCTATTGAGAAAATGTCATAGCCAGGTCTAGAGTCAGCCAGGTGGGAAACTTTCCATTCAAAAGGAAATGTCATACTGGGGAAATTGAGTCAGTATAATCATACCTAAGCCCATGCCAAAAATCATTCTCCCAGCTTTCCCCATGAGACAGAACTCCATCATTCATAGATACCACTGGCATTATGGATCATCGGCTCAATCGCATTTCTTGA